TCACCAAGGACTGCAGTCGCGCAACTCCCTGCAGCTCATGCGCCTGGATTGCCTGTCGGAAACGCCTCCAGTCCGTCGCATGGACTTCGCATCCAGGGAGCAGAGGCCAATGACACCTTGCATGTCACGGATGTGACTGAAAGACTTAACCGAATGCACATCAAATAGTTCACTGAAGTTTTGACAGAAGTACAAAAATTGCAACGCTGACGAAAGCAGATGTCTTTCATCGCGAAACAGTTGCCTTGTTCTGTCCCATAGATCATCTGGACGGGGTCGCCCACGTGATGCCTGAGACTGAAACGGCATAGTCGCTTGCCGGTTTCTAGAGCTGAAAGGGGCCGAGAGGCGAGGGATTGTCCACCGGATTCATGCCCTGAAAGCCCAGAGCTGTTGCAGAGCCCTCAACCTCGCAAGAAGGCCAAGATCCGGTTGCTTCTTGATTCTTGTGCTATGGAGGATTGTGCTGCTTGTGAGCGGAAGCAAGCCACCGCCGCCAAGTGAGGCTTCGACAGCGAATTCATGTGAGAGCTTCTCCCCCTGATAGACTCGCAAGCATTTGTCCTGTATCATCACTACGTCATGGCGAAGTGTCTAGTCTAGTCAGTCTAGTCTAGCATGCTTTTCAGTGTCTGAGTTCTTTCACAGAGTGTCCTGGCAGGCAACTATCGTGCTGAGGAGCTCCCCATTGTGCACTGGCGCACAGGTCAGATCCTCAGCTGGCGCAGCCTAATGCGTGGTGCTGCCATGGCTGGGCTTGTTTCGGGAAGGGTGTGGACGCCATTAAAGCTGCTGGCTCGACGAGCACTCCCCTTCCCGCTTGGCCGCATTGGAGCGACAGTGCCGATAAAAGATCAAAGTGCGATTCCGGTCTTGAGTGAGGCTGGGATGGCCTTGTTATGGCAGCTGGTGGCCCTCCCCACAACCAATACGAAGCCACGAGCTGGAAGACATCCTGTCAGGTGACTTGGTTCCGGAACACTATGGAATGGCAGGCGCAATAGTCGCAGCTGTATTGCGTATTCCACATGCAGGGTTTCAGCAGGGGTGCTTCCCGATCTGACGTGATCCAAGACATAGCTTAGTCCTTTGTTGGTCGACCAGGTTGTTAGTAAAGCCCCCTCCAAGCGATATGCGAGCACGGGATTTGACAGCAGTAATCCTGAGCTGCGGCCAATACGCGTCCCGCACGCCGAGCTGCGGTCCCCGGTGAGGAGCGAGGACAACGACCCCGGATAAGGCGATGGGCTGGAAGAACCGCAGGACTCCGAACTTGCTGTGACTCTCTCCGCACTGCGCGTCGCGTCCGAGGCCCTGTCCAGGGGCTCGGGCCTCGATCCCATTGGGGGTGGACCCGGCTGCACTGACAGTCGGATTGCCATGCCACAGTGCATCCCTCTTCGGACGGCAGACAAAGGACATTGTTGCGTAACTTTGCAAGTCGGCTGCACTTTGCCCCCACAGACCTCGCCACTAGCTAAACTGCGCAAGCAGAACTCCCCCTAGACGCAGCAGACACTCTGCAACATCCTGCTGACTGTCAGTCCCGACATCGTGCTGAAATGGCTACTCTCTCTCCCTCTCTCTCTCTTGCTTGTTTGCTTGCTCAGCGCGTAGGGTGGAGTAGGGTGGAGGGATAAACCCCCCCCAGGGGTCCTCGTTGCTCGTGGTCCCCGGTGTTGGCCTCCCTCTCACCTCTTCGGTGTCTGGGTTGCTTGCTTCTCCCTGCATGAACTGGTAGGAGATCGCGGTGAATTGGTTGTACTCTTCATATCTTCCTGGTTGAAGACGTCGATGTGAGGATGTAGGCCTGGGGTGTTGTTCCCGGGTCGTCCTCCGGTCCTTTTGCGGGACTCACGGGCTCGCTCGGTGCCTGGGGCTCCTTGTGGCAGGGGGCGTAGTTTTTTCGGTCTTGCTAGGAGGCTTGCCGGTGCAGAGCAGATCGGGAACGGCTCGCGCCGCTCCGGCTTCCAGTGGCGAGAGTCCCCCAAATACCCGGCTTGTACATCCTCCTGTGTAGTTGTGGCGCTCGGTTCGAGGGCTGGTGCTGAGTTCACAACGTGCGCTTGTTTGAGGACGGTCACGGTTGTTCTTCTTCTTCTTCTTCTCCCGCTTGCGTTTACTGTGTTTTTCCGTAGGGTCGGGGTATGTGAGAATCGCGTCAAGGGCCGCTTGCTCTTCCTGCGCGTCTTTGGCAGTGTAGACAAGGTCTTCGTGCTGGATCGGGAGGGGTCCCTGGTGGGGCAGTAGCAGAGGTGCTGGTGGAGATTCCGGTGGCTCGTGTAGTCGGTGGTGCCAAGGGGGTAGCCTGCAGCCCCTGGATGTCCCTGTTGATGGTCGGCTCCGGCGCGAACTTGCTGCTGCTGCTTGAGCTGGCTGGGCGCCTTGATTTACGGCCTGCTTCGTGGGTTCCCCTTGCCCCTCAGCACCGTTGCTTGTAATTCGTATGGAAAGCGGCAGGGACAAGGTGCAGGTGGAGCTCGTGTGTTCGAGCCCCGATTTGGGTGGGTAGAGCTCGTGGGTGTTCTTCCGGGTGGTCGTGTCGTAGGCAGGGAGGCGGAAGTAGTGAGAACCGGCTTGGTGCGTGGTTCCGGCGGCCTTGACCTGCTGGGTCGCCGGTAGTAGAGGCCGTTGGTGTGGTGTCGTAGGTGATGTCCTTGGTGCTCGTTGCCGTCGGAGGTACTCGAGGGCCTCTTCTTCATTGCTGGCATTGGACCGGTGCAGAGTGCCCCGACGTGAAGCCACCGAGCTCATCGGCGACCTCGCTGGACTTGACCCTCCACGGCACGATCGTGACACCTACCCGACCTCGACGAGACCCCGCGTGCACCAAGGAGGCAAACTGACTTCGAGCCCATCCCCGGTCGTTTAGTGTAAGAGGGGAACGCAAGGTCCCCGTTCGGCGCTCCAAAGTGCGACGTGGGGAAGGGGCATGCAGTGTCCCCACCCGGCGTTCCAACTCTAGCAGTTTTCCTTCGAGGGCCATCTGAGTGGTGGAAGGAGCTTCGGGGTCTTCAGCGGTAGGGGCAGTGTTCCCCCGTTCGGTAAGACCGGAGGCGATTGTTCAGCGAGGAAAGACCCTCCCTGAACTTCATCGCGCATCCCGGCCTCATCGCCGCGCTCTCTTAAGCACAATCCTTGGTCCCTCGCCGAACACTTCCCCCCTGTTGGCCCAACGGTTTGTGACAGGATTCCCCCTTTCCGCAACAACAAAAAGAACCAAGGACAGCGATATAACGGCAGAACCAAAGCTCGAGGGATCCCAGTGTATGATTGCACCTGGACGGTTTCTTGTACTGGAAAACCACAAAACCGGTAAAAGGGTGCTGGTTCCCCTGCCTGGTATGGTAAAGCAATTGGCATTAGGGTCCCTTTTCAAAGGTATAGAGGCTTGCAGCAGCGCAATTAAAGGTGGGGCGCAAGATGGCTCCTTTGAGGTACTGGCTTTGGCTCAGCGGCCTGTCAGAATTCCGCTTGTCACTCTTTGCTTTGCTCTGGGGCGTGGGAAGCAGGCAGTCCCTACCTCCCGCTCCGAAGAGCGGCCCCATCCCGTCATTTTGACTGGATGGGCCGCTTGTCACTCTCTCTCTCTCTCGCTTGCTCGCTGCTGGGGCAAGGTCCGCAAGGACCCGGGCCGCGGCCCCCCCTTTCCTTCCTTGTTTGTGGAAGAGTTGCATTGGGGTCAGTGACGAGGCTCGCTCGCTCTCTCTCTCTCTCTCTCTCTCTCTCTTTCTCTGTCTCTCTCTCTGCAAGGCTGGTGTTGACGAGGCGATATCTTGGCATGTGTCCACGCATACTATGCTTGCTTCATTTCGACGATTCCGACGGGGCCTTCACTCCATAGATCGCACCGAAGACTTCGGTTGCCATCGGCCCGTTGCAGTGATGGACTTACAAGAAAGGAAATCACTATGTGACTAGCATACTGCCAAGTCCACGAAGTATTCCATTTGCGCGACAGCAAACCTATTCAGCAGGTCTCAGCCAAGGAGTCAATAGCCGAAGACTGGTGCCTTCCAATAATCTGCACCGATCAAGCTGAGCGCGCTGCGTTTATGCGATCCTTTGTCATCACGAAGCCTGGCCAATCTGCCGGATGTCAGGAAAGGATAAGTATTCGAGACCTTGTTCAGATACCTTCCGAGCCCCCTTTTTGGTTTACCCTGCAAGGCGTCGGTTCGGCCATAATCTTTGCAGCTGTCGTAGATGTTCATGATGTACTCACCTCGAAGGTGTCATCAGATGATGTTGGAGGCTGCAGAGTTCTGCGGGCGCTGTACCGCCAGTCCAAATCATGTTCTCCTCCACGAAGAGATGGTTGATCGTCTCTGTAAGGTTCGTCTTGATCTTGACCTTCACAGGTGAAGGAAACCTGTGAATGGAAGGACTTCTCATCGCCGACATGGAGGCGAGACGTTAACAGCCACCCTATCCCAAAGAAACATGAACAACTTCCGAATTTGGCACATGAACCACTTCGATGCTTTTTTGCCGGCTCTGGATCCGGCCTCCCCAATGATATGCTGATGGACCGTCTGAACGAGCATTACCGGTCCCCCATTCAGCCAGCTCGCAACACGGAAGATGGAATGCAACAGCAGTGTCACTCATGTGGCCCCCCTCCGTTTCCATGGTTGGTTGTTCTGTGATTTGCATTCTGGTTTGAAAAGTGTAACGCGGTGAGAACCGCCCGCTCTTAAAATGGAATTCTTTGTGGTACCAGACCACACCCGCATGTTCTGTTTCGTTATCGAGTGGAGGGGATCGTTCAAGCAGGCGCGAACTTGAAGGGTTCAGGGCCAGTGGAGGGTCAGCTTACACAAGACACAAACGAAGCGACAGTATGCCAACTGTATCAAAGGCTTCCAGGAACATGTTGAACGTGAGTGCTGCACGAAGCTCAGGCACGAGCAAATTCCTTACCCTTCCGAGTGAAGCCATGTATGGATTGCCCGCATCCAACAAAGATTTTGTCCTGCTACGACAGCATGCTGGGAAGAGGGCTTGCTTCCCTTGAACGCAGTCCTTTGCAAGCTGTATAACCACAGAGCTGATCTCGCGTCCAAGTGGAGCCTGGTGCGACTGCTTGGCTGCGTCTGATCGCAGCTTAAAACGTACTGTTCATCGTGAATTGGGGGCCAAGCCGACTTCCATTCGTACTGAACCTGAACCATGTGCAAGGTTAGATGCCGATGGAAAGCGTCGGCACAGCACCCAAGCCTCTCCTTTTTTTATGTAGAACACCTGCAGCACCCCGGTGTCGTCACCTAGTTGCGGATAAGGCACTGTCGTGATCTACTGCTGCAACCACCACGGAAGGACCAACAACATAAACGATCTACGACGGCAAAGGAATTGCTTTCACCTGCACGTCGATGAAATCTAGAGTCTGCAGCAGCTTGTTACACATATGGCCTTTGGGACGATTGTCTTCTTGAAGCGTCATTTCTCCGAGTCTCCAAAGCTCCCAAGACTTGCACGCGATTCGCTGCTCGAATAGCATGTATGGATCCCAAACATTGATGCAGTTGAGAAGTCATGGCGAGGGACATTTGATGCTAGAACCAGCGGGCACAGCCACGCAAGCTTGCACGAACTGAAGAGTCTAGCGAGATGCCCGATGAAAGATCAACAACATTACCTCAACAGCAGCATCGGCAGCGGCATCAGCAACAGCATGAACAGAAACAGTTGCAACGAAGAGAGACATGATCTTACCTATCCATGGCACAATCAACCAATGAAACAAAACCAGCAAGAGCAGAACAGCAGAAGCAAAAGAAAGGCGTCAGGCACGACATGACTTCAGCCAAATAACTTCTTGTTGGCAAGAGAACGGTTGAGAGTAATTCCGGGGGTCTCTTGCTTATCTGGCTGGGTTCGATGGCGCTCTCAAGAAGTGCGGCTCAGCTACATGGCGACACGAAGCAACCAAAGCGAAATAATAATGCTCCACAATAGCAATGGTTGCAGTTACTAACATGCAGTAGCCACGATTAACATGGCCGGGATGCTCTGCGACACGATCCAGCCACGCCGGATTACACGGTTGGTACAACACCAGCTAGAACAACACTAAGAAATGTTGTTGGTGCTAAACATACATAAAAGCAGCCATGATGCTGGAAGCAGAACGACGGTATCGATGCCGATTGTCCGAGCAGCAAACATACCAAGAGAAATCTAGAAATGTACAGGCGTAGCAACGACTCAGTGCGATCGTGAGTGTAGTGAAGTGAGGTTCATCAGACGAATGGTATTTGGAGTCGCGGCAATGACAATATTAACTCACAATCATGAGCCAGCATCTGCGAAAATTCCCTAAGCTGCGAAGGAACCGGAAACTGAATCGAAAATCAGACAAGGCAACACTACGAAGATGACAGAAAATGATTGCCCACACCGGTGGTTCACTGTAGTGGTCCAACCCATACTTCCGTGCCTTTTGACCCGAGGGACCAACACGAAACAACATGATGCGACACTGCATCATACCTGGAAAGGGATGAGGAGTGACAAATCCTAATCCCCAAGCAGAAGCAAGGACTTGTGGTGGTGGCAACAAACTATGGCCCAAAACCCTACACCCACAACAGCTAGAACCCACAACCATCACAAGTACCAAATGCAAAGCATCAATCAATCACACAGACACACACACACACTCACACACACACACACTCAAGCACACACACACACACACTCACACACACACACACGCCCCAACACACACACACACACACACACACACACACACACACACACACACACGCGCGCCCACACACGCACACACTTACTTACTTTGGCTCGGCACGAACTGATGCGACGGAAGACCGACAGGACGAGACGAGACCAGGACATGTCGTCGTCGTCACGTCGTGTCGTGAGGATAAGGGTCCTGTCCTCTGTCGTCGTCAAATGCCGAGTAGTAGGGATAAGGGTCCTGTCCCTGGGCATTGTTGTGTCGGGGATGGGATTCTGTCCCCGGAGCCAGACATAGAGAATGGCTGCCACTGCCGTGGTCGGAGTGCGATGACCGGGCAGGGCGTAAAACGTTCAATGTGCCGAATAGTAGGGATTGGGTTCTGTCCCTGGCACAGCGGGGATATGGTTTCGGTCCCCTTGCAGGTATGTTGCAGCACCTTGCTATCAGGCTCTTCGTTGGCCATTCCCTGACAGCAATGCTGAATGGCCCCTGCACACGATCGGTCGCCATATCCAGGCGTTTACACACACACACACACACCCGCGCGCGCGCGCGCACAGGCCCGCCGCGAAAGCAGCACAGCATCGCAGCAGCGGCCAGCGACGAGGAGAAGGACAAGAGCAAGGCGGGACATGAAAGAGATGCAGTGTGTTCGACTGCGTGCCTGGATGCTAAGCTGGGCGTGCAATCATTCCGCAACTTCTGCTAAGACTCCGGCCAACAGCAACTTTTTGCTGCTTCTTCTTGCCAACCTGAGGTCAAGGACTGAAGCTCTTGCGATATGAAGCTGAACACCTCCTGCTCCCTCCGGCATCCGCATAAAGCAGTAGAGTCGCAGCTAGCAGTACCACGGTACTTCCATGTGCTACCGGTGCTTCCGTTTCACATTTGCCAGGCAAGCAGCTGGCAGCACATCCAGAGTTCCAGGCTGCAAAGCCTCAAATCGCGCCAACATGTCAAAGACGTCTGGAGCTCTTGCTTGCACAGTGTTCCAGGCCATGGGATGTCGACACTCCAAGACGTGCAAGCCGAGTCTTGTCTGTCAATCCGCCGGTGTAATATGACAATCAGCTGCTGACCCCGCATTGCAGGAGATCCACTCGATGGAGGAGGACTTCCATCCACCTGAAAACTGCAGGGCTTGGCAGCGAGGGAAGTGCATATGGGCTGCTGGCTGCTGGGTGCTGCTGGCTGCGGCTGTGCTGTATTGAGCAATGCTTTCCACAGAAATGTAGCGGGTGCCTGCGGCCTTGCGGCCTGCGACTTGAGCGGCACAGGTGCCACTAGCGGCCAGGACCTAGTCTCGCTCCTGTTCCAGTGGCCAAGCGGCCTACATCTTCGTTACAATGACTTTCAACTTTTGGTGGAAGCTAACACCAAATAGCCGCCGCTGCGCTTGGAAACAGCTGACTCTGTCTCTGCATTTTCTTCGCACGGTCTTGCTACAACAAGACCTTTTGCTCGGGCCGAAGAACAGCCGACAGAAGGAGCTGCAAGAAGCAGGCTGCCATGCAGTCATGACATGCCGCGTCCACAGCAGGACAGGTCACAAACGCCTTTATTGTAGCTTTCTGGCTGTATTCTGGATTCTTCAGTTTCAAGCCGCTCTTGAGCATGTGGGCCGCTGATAATCACGTTGTCCACGACCTCATTCTAAAGCGTAGTCTCCAGCAGGCTGTGCTTCATGCAGCACAGGGCTCGCACACTCAAGAGGAAGGCGCAACCTCCGACACCAAACCTTCATTGGATTTCACAGGGCTGCAAAGACTTGGTTTACTTGTGAAGCCACTACAACTGCAGCCGTTGCTCTTTCGTATACCTTCGTCTTGGCTCTGTGCTTGATCTCGGCGTCTCCCAAAGCAAAGCGCACGCGGACACCAGAAGCCTTGCGGAGATCAACTGGTCCTGCATCAGGAGCCTCCGGTGCCTTCACCGGAGATACCGGAGCAACCTGCAGCTGGATGTCCAAGCCATCCAGGATCTGAACCTGCCATACATGAGTCGGTCTGCTAACATGACCAGCATGCCTCTGGCCCTTATGAACAGCATCGCTGAAATGTCGGCATCGGGACTTCCAGCGATTGCTGTGGACACGAAGCCAGCAGGGAGTGCTCCGGGCATGCTCCCAGCGTTGGCGCGCCAAACTACACCGAGTCATGCGTCCCTCATAGCCCTCAGAGTGTTGCGTGCTAGTCGATTCCGACGCAGCTACTGAAGCGAAATCGACAATCAACAGCAACGGCTTCCGCAGTGCATGCCGTCAGTCCGCCTCTCTTCTCACCAGCCCACAGATTTTGCAATCGACAATCGACCTACATGGTGTTAAACTTCTTGCCACGGACCGAACGGTATCAAGCTTGCACTACATGGTGTGCAGGCAGCTGCACGGCATGTCCTTGGGTCAGTGCAGCACGCAGCCGACGTGAGCGCAGGCATGTCGTACATCTTGAACTGACAATGTGTATAATGTGTAGTCAGTGTAGTGGTCATTTGTTGTCTGGTGTGTGCAACGGTCAAGTTCTTGCAGACCTGTTCGGAAAGGGAGGGTAGAGAAAGAAAGAAAGCGAGAGAGAGAGAGACGGAGAGAGAAAGGAAGAGAGAGAGAGGAGCGCAAAGACCGCGGGTGAGGGCCGAAACAGGGAAAGGGATGGGGCGTAACAGGGAAAGGCAAACAGAGAACGTTTGGGCTGTAACTTGGAAACCCCTGCCTGAAACAAAGAAAGCAATCCCCTGCGTAACGAGGAAGGTTGCACAAGGTAAGCGGTAACACACCTTTAGAACTTCAAACCCGAATGCTGTCGACCCTGCATGCACGGCATGGTTCACCAGCTGCAAAGGCATACGGGCATGTGAGGTGTCTGTTTGACCTTACTTTATGTGGCCGGAGGTCTTATAGGCATGTGAGCGTGAAAAGTCTGTATGACCATTAAAAAAGGTCGAGGCTGCAAAACAATACCAAATTAACGCAAAGAAAGGCCGCTGTGAAAATTCACGCCAGTCTCCCACCATTTAGAACCTTGAGCATTGCCCTTCGTAGCTCCTGGCGACGAAACCTTTCAAAAATACATGCATCAGTGTAATCCGTCAAACTGTGACCACCAACCTTAAATCTGTTCAAATCTGTGCTTTCGAAGCCCCGCATCACGTCTTTGCTCAACAAGATGCAGCTTGTGCAACCACCCGTTCAAAAATATCATGCGTCGAGCTATCCATCTATGGATACTTATTTGCAGAGTATGCGTATGTGCGTACTTTGTACAATTGCACGCTCTGGTGTACGTACCCAAATGCACACCTACCCATGTGTATTTCTGTCCTGCAGTCCTGCTGCCCCTCCTCGCCTATATGCTACAGCTACCTATGGTTTTGTGGGGTGTGTGTTGGAACCATTGTGCTTTCGAGGTGCGCATGTGCAGACACATGTATTACTTATATGCACACTCTCCGGAAATGCAATATACTATTACCATGTGCAGGTGCTGTTTAATTTATGGTCGACGATGTGCTTTCGACATGTGTCACCATGCGACACGAAACGAGGAGGCACAAGAGATATGCAGGGGTATGCGCAGACATGAGTATCAGTATATGCTTTTTGCAGATGATACGGGCAAATGACAATTACCAGCACATACCAGACAACCAAAAGCGATCACCCGGTCTTAGATAACACTCATAGAGCCTTCGGCCTTGACACACCTGGCTCGAACGAAAAAAGGCCGTGACCCCGATGGTGTTGGAAATGATTTTGTGGGTTTGACTGCACATTAAAAAAGGCTTGCGAAACAGCGACATGAAGTGATTCGTGCTTAGTTAACCAGAAACTCGTGAAATTTTCGCTCGAACCGTCGTGCAATGGAATGCCAGCAACTTTCCAAAATATGTTGGGAACATAAGTTCATTGGTTATCACCTGTCGTTTTGTCTACGGCCCGGTCGCCTTTTAATGTGTGCATGCTTTCAGCATGAGATCATGCACTTGTAGCCAAGATCTTTATCACAACACTCCTGTAAAGTATCATTCAAGCCAAACGGTGAAACAATACATAGGTCAGTTTCGGAATAAGCATTGTTTCGCTGTAGAGTTTTCGGCCTATACATCAAGCACAGCGGTTTTTGTTGGAGTGTCTTGGGCCCTTGTTCCGTCAATTTATTGCTGGACTCACAACCCTGCGTCTTTCGGTGAAGCGTTGTGTCAATTTGTCTGCAGGCTTTCTGGACACCAGAAGCCTCAATGCCTCACCGACTGCAGTTTTGACGGGCAAGGCTTTAGGGATGTTGAATATGGGTTTTGGTGTGGTGAGGGATTTGGCAAAGATATTGGGGGCTTGGTGATTTGTCCGATCTATTTCGACGCGGTCTTCGCTCTGCACAGCTTTGCAGAAGCTATCAGAAGGCAGAAGCAATTCCGACTTGGTAGCTCCGAACTAGCTAAACTTCTAAACTGCAATCCCTAGCCCATGATTATAATTCAGTTGGATCCATTCATTGAGTTCAACAAATCACAAGGCTTTCATGTGTTCTGCCGTTAGCTTGAGTTGACACAGCCTACACATGTCCGGAAAGCTCACTGCCAGCAGATCGATTTTGGACGGTTCCACGTGCAGAGTATCGAAATCCTGTAGAAGCCAATTGCGTAAGCAAACAATCCGATTTCGCAGTGCACAAGAACCCCCATGATGGTTTTCGACATTTCACAGAACGCGCTTCCACCGTACTCCTACCGCGCTACAACTACGTGCACGCCTCAGGTCCAGAAAGCTACAGTATGTAAGTCAAGATTTCCACAATAGCGTTTGGTGTGAAATGCTGCTTCGCATGCCAATCTTAAAGCAGTGCAAACATAACTACCAGCATTGGAACAAACACGGCCATGCAGGTCGCGAACTCGGGAATTCACACGAGCACGATTTCACGAAATTCGCTTCCTTAATGGTAGCTTCGGTCTTCAATAGCTGTGCACCTGTCACAACCTGTATTTACAGTCGCAACGGAGTAGCACGTGAAAAAGCGTTACTTGAACGCGAAAAGTTGTTACTTGACCACCGACTCCGTGAATCACGTGAATTCTCGGCGGGCTTTGGGTTTTAGATTTCGCAAGCACGTTGCGGTGTGATATAGGCAGCATTGTCCAAGAATACATGCGTGAAAGCATGTGAAAGCCGTCTTTGTCAGTTGTGTCATCTCGAGGACCATGTTAAGCATCGTTGTGATTGAATTTCACGCCGGTCGCTGGATCAGAAAAAAGATTTGTGTAGCCGGAGGGTTTGTTCACGTGGCGTGTAGCCCAGCTGTACTAGGCGGATGCTAATCCTCAGGTTAGCTCAACCATGCATGCGTTTGCCATATTCGTGTCTGCATCCCGAATGCATCATAAACAACTTTTTCAACCCAAGAGACATCAAGCTTCGTAGGTTGATTTAGCGTGGAAAAGGGTCAGCGAGCATCTCAAACATGTGGTGCACGACTCCCGAGCTAGCGCTCCAGTTTTAGTGCTCTTTGTTGCAATAACCCACCATCCAAGACCTACTTTCCGTATCCGTCCATCCTCGCAAGCAAGGGCTTGTCTGACCGTCACAGAAGAATCGTTTTTAGTGATACTTTCACTCGTCAGATTTTCAGAACCACACACATCCGGCGAGAGTATGCAATAAATCTGAACGCCATGAGACGGCTGTAATGCTGTAACGGTGATGAAAACGAAGGGGTGATATGACCTGTGAAGGAACAGCGCTAAAGAGGCCCGAGAAGCAAAAAACTTGTCCGACCAGTTTGAAAACAGATGCAGGCCGACACTTTGCACTTGGATGGTGCAAATCGGCAGCAGTCGGCGTTTCGTAGGGAGTGTCTTCCGTGTTACTGGCGGCACGCCCTTCTCTGTAACAGGCCCGGCGGCCTTCCACGTTACTTGCTCGTTTCGACCATTGCTTCCGGGTTTGGAGGTTTACTCCAAAGACCGCACGGGGTGGCTGCTCCGCACATCTCCGCACAAGCTCCTTGATCGAATTTGGAGGCAGTGACGTGATATGATTTGCATTCCGGTCCGCGGAATTCCGTCAGGCAATGATGCAGCCTGCAGCAGCACTGCCGGAAGTATCCGGCAGTCACGTCGGGAACAAATGCAGGAGTGACCAGTACCCCGATGTAGATGGGATGGGAACGATTTTCAGCATCCGCTAGAACTGTTGGTCGAGTGGTTCATGGGCCTCAGAGTGTGGCGCTGCATACGGTGCCGATTTAGCAGGTTCGGCTGAGTGCTGCTTCCCCTGTGCCAGCAGCCTGCCTCTCAAGCCCGTTTCGACAAACGCCTCGCAAGCGGCAGTTTCGACAATTGGAGCCTCGCAAACCTCAGTTTCGACTGTTGGAGCCTCTTCAGCCTCAGTTTCGACAACGGGAGCTTCTCAAATCTTGGGTTTCGACAATTGGAGCCTCTGTAGCAAACTTGCACACGTGCTGTGTAGGCAGCTGCATGTTGTTGCGTCAGTGCAGTGCGCAGGAGCTGACGTGCTGACATGTACATCTTGCTCTGACATGTGCAGTGGTCCCTTGTTGTCTGGTGCATGCGACAGTCAAGTTCTTGCAGTCACGCTCGGAAAGGCAGAGGAGAGAAAGAGAGAGAGAGGCATAGAGAGAGAGAGAGAGCCGCGCAAAAAGATGAACCCGTAGTTGCTGTCGTTTCCTAATGTGGCCACATGCGTGCTGCTCTTTTCCAACGCAGACAGAATTGGAGCATGAGTGCCAGTGGAACACAGCATGGAATCAGTATATTCAGTATGGACAGTAAGGACACGGACATCTAGTCTAACCTTGATGACAGCATTCAAAGACCTCAGCAGACCTTTGTCAGAATCGCAAACTGCGGGCTTGCACCGTACATCACCGTACCCAACGAGATGCAACGAGGTTTGATCACCTTCCTGCCGGAACTTAGGCCGTTCACTCAAGCCTCTTCTGCCGGAGATGTCGTCGCCCATTTCAATGGACCCCACACCTGGAAAACATACGGGAGAATCGGGACAATCAATATACCACAACAAACTTCCCAGTCACCCGGGATGCCGACCCCTTCGTCGACGAAGTCCAGCTGGGATGGTTTCCTTTCTCGTATAAAAGAAAGGAAACCTTCATATCATGCAGAATTGAAACTACCTTTCGGTGTCCAAGGGCAAGTGTCCTGCATTTGTGCCAGATGGGCTGATGCCTTGGTAGTCACTTTGTCAACATGCAGGCTGGCAGAAGGGTGAGAGGCAGCGCCGTGCCGCTGTGCCAGGCCAGATGCACGCTGTTCTGTTGTTAAGCATCCGTTTTGTGACACTGTGAGGGTGTGGCACGGAAAGCTTCACACCAGCTTCCGCAGCACGGAGCAGCCCTTTCGCTCTGACCTCAGCGTTTCAACTCCGGAAGGCGCGTGGAAAGAGCACCGCTTATAGATGCTACGATGCTTGGCAAAGACTGTTTGCCCTGGCAAAAACCATGATCAAACAACAACGTTGGCTTCACATGTTGTTGTTCAAGAATGGTTTGTATTAGCTCGAACACACAAGCCTAATTTAGAACATCAAGCTCCGCAGATTGCATCCTTTTTCGACGGAAACCATCATCGGACATGTGCAATTCGGAGTCGGGGGTAAGTCTTCTCTCTCTGCTGCAGCGCAAGCCGTAGACTCTAGCTACTCTGCTTTTGTAGACTGAGCTTTGTTCCGCTTGTCCACACCAATGAACTGCACGATCAACGTGGCATTGAAAGAAGCATTGAACAAGAGCGATCTCATTCCAGCGCATTCTGCACCGGCATAGATCTTCGATGCCGTGACACACAACAGGCAGAAGCTGGTCGCAAACTGCACGATTTGCAGCTTGGTGATCCATCGCTTCCAAGGTGTCGGGCGCTTCAAGATCTTCATTGCGTAATAGTGGTACATGATGACATGGACCAGCCTCAGATGCGATAAGTACGAAGAGCGCACTCAAAACTTGCTCACAATGCCATGCAACAGCCAGGGAGCGTGTTAAAGACTAAGCCTCCCCATTGCAGGGATTGTTGGTATTGGCACCACAACCAAGCCATGGGCACCTGCAGAGGTGGTCTCTGCCCTCGCCATGACAGTTTATCTCTCGCAAGATAGCTATTCAGCAGTCCCCTGCTGATGGACGTCGATAGAGATAGTAGACTGCCACCCTTTGAAACACACCCCCGTCACGGCAACCCCCTTGCCACTGCAACTGTAGCAAATTGGACCCTCGCCCCTTCCCTGCATTCAGACCCTGTCCGGTGATGAATCGTCCGCTTCTCGGGGGTTGCTACACATCACTTCGTTTGGATGTGGGGCTCTCACGAAGTCTTTTCTAGCTCTCTGCTTCTGCTCAAACTTGGTGATTCTTGGCAGGGCCGGCGCCATTCTCAGTGCGTTACGAAGATGCCGCCGGTGACGTTAAACACACCTTGCAACCTTGCATTGATTCGAGTCTAGGCCTAGGCCAGCGTCGCGCTTCGAGAAGTTCACTATTCACGGGAAAAAGCCAGAGATCATCTCTACAGTGATCTCCGGGTCCTACAGTTTAGGGGCCAGGTCAGAGGTTGGCGGCCTTGAGACTCAGGGTTTCGGAATCAGCTTCTGCAAGGACTTCTGACTGTTTCTCTCTCTCTGGTCTTGAATGCTTCATCTCCGTGACCTGTTTGGAACAAGCAGTTCTTCTCTTGTTTTCGGGGTGCTGAGGAAATTAAAGCTATGAAAAGATTCAGCAAAGCTTGCAGCGGAGGCACCACAGCTGCGTGATGATACACTTGTAGCTTGAAGTGTGGCACCCTGCTCTTCTGCAAGAGCACCAGAACTGTATCGAACATCTCATAGTACTTGCTTAGGTAGTAGATGTAGGACCAGAAAAACAAGGGGCCATTGGATTCCGTGGCTGCTTCACAAAAAAACCAGCCAAAGTCGCCTGAAGAGGCCCACCGTCTGTTCAGCTCGAAAAGGGTTCCAAGCAGCATGACTAGCGAGCCAACCGACAGAAGCAAGTTGTGGATTACGGCAACGGTGCCTAGCTCGAAAGGCGCGGCATTCTTCATCCCAAGACTCAATACCAAAACAATCGCCAAGTACACAGCTACTCCGCCAGCTGGCCAGCTCCAATCCGCTGCGAACGCATTATCCCAGCGGAACTTCTCATACGGAATGCCCAGCATCGCGCATAAGGAGCGAACTACCCAAAAAGACTCAGGCGACTCAGGACTTTGCAGTGCCAAAGGTTGATCGTTCATGAGGCTTTCAGTTATATGGCATGCGCTGACACCAGACAGCAAGCTGAGAAATAGCATGGGCGATTTCGCGAAGGAAAGCCTTGGCACATCTCTTCATAACGTACACATGCAAGTGCCGGACCCAGAGAAGTACCACGGTTGGGTGCGTGCGCCATGCCTGCACTGCTGTAAGATTACCCCCAAGTGAAACATTTCTGTGAGTCTTCTGTGCCGCTGCATGAATGTATGTTTGACAGTGTTCTGAGCTCAACGCCCACATGGGTACCTCCTCTTGCTGAATGTCAAACGCCACACGCCTCACAAACATTAACGAAGCAGGATGGTAAGAAGAACTGCGCACCGAAATCCTCAAGCAAGCACAGATGTGCAAAGGATTTCGACATGACCAAAAGTCGTGCAAATACTGTATCATTTGCAGCTTCCTGTCATGTTCCTCCGTGTCGCCTCCACGAGCATGGCTTCACCTGCACAGCAACAACACAGGCATGCAGCTCACGGTGCACAGTTGTGCAATCATATCGAGCAAGACTAGCGACCAACAAAGGCTTCCAAGAACTTCCAAAACTTCCTGGCAAGAATCTGGTGGACGTCAAATTCAGTATCTACCAGCTGAGAAAGGCTAAGTCGCGTCTACCACCTGCTAGTCGAACTTACAGGAGGGGAACAATGGGCTGAGCCCGAAATTCAGCGGAACATCAAGGAGGGCCACGATCGCGAGACTGAGATCCAGCTCTGGTGCCTGCGACCGCATTATCTTTGGAAGCTGCGACCATCGCAGACCTCGGCAAGTCGCCCAAACCGCTCTGCCACGGCTCTTCGTACGGCTTGGCTTCTGGCATTGTTCCAGCCGCATGCGTGAGTTGGGTGCAACCTGAGAACAAAAAATCCAAAGCATCTTGACCTTTTATGACTAAACCACGATGTGCAGTCGGAGCAAACTCATTATTCCGACCGGGTCATCATCGCCGGTCTTTCGCTGACAATGCATCAGAAGTTAGATGACTCGAGCAGTCACCCACCCCCTGACTTAAAGAGTTCGTGCAAACAGCATCTTCATCAGCGTTGGCCGCCTCAAGAACACCGACCAGTCTATGCAAGGGTTCGACACCTGCGAGCATCGCATATCAAAGGGTGAGACGCAGATGTCGACCACGGAGGCACGCTCGAGCTGAGCAAACGAATCATCATGTTGTGAGGTGAGGGACTGCATCCTTCCACGTCTTTTCTGCCTCCGGGAACAAGGTAGAAAAATACGGTTCTGCCCCTCTTCTGCACATCTCCGGCACACGAAGATCAGCCTGTTTAAAATGCAGTGAGCTGACTTCGGCAACAGCCGTGTGCATGAGCTGGCAGTGCTGACGGTTCTCTCAGTGCTCACGGTCGTTTGCGAGCTCCTCGCTTGTATGGAACCTTCTTGACGAATGCCATGCCTGGCGAGCTGGGATGATCTGGGTGGGTGTTGTAACTGGATACGTCAGTCACGGCAGAACATGGCAGAATATAAGACTTTCACTGCGACGATGATACGACAAGCAGTGCCTCATGACGAACCGCAGAGCCTGACAACCCATGAACACATGGAAAAAGGGAAGATAGATTCAAAGAATTCAAGCAGTTCAGCCCAGCAGAAGCTTCCTGCCCTCAACAGTCACGCGAAATACGATATTAAATGCGATGAGGTAAGCTCACCGAAGAGCCGGATATTGCCTTGAACCTTGGACAGCCACGAGTATCCCAAATGTCGCTCCGCCTGCAACGACACCTGACAGACCTGGTATGAGCCTAACGAGTACGAGTTTCATGCAGATAGTGCCTGCCAAACTCACTTCATGAGAGCTTCGCGACCACTAGCAGCACATGGCCTTGGTAGTGGCCTCGCATGCACCATACACCGTGAGGCACCACCTCAGCAAGTGCACTGTGATACAAAGTTGCAAAGCAACTGCCCCACGACGCTGCTCCTTCAAATACTAATACCGAAGAAAGGTTTCGAAGACAGGGGGTGTCACTGAAACTGGCCCGATATCGGCTTCGGGCCTTGCCGTCGAAGATAAAAGCTCGTCCACCTGCCTGGCACAACATCGGTCGAAGCTGAACGTGTTCCAACAGCATAGGACTATTGCACAGGGACTGCAGAACTTGTTGCCGAAGAGGGGCCAAAGGGAAAGCTTTGTTGCCCATGACGAAAAACGCCATCTGGTCAATGACCTGTCTGGAAACGATAGTCACCACGAGCAAGCAATGCGGAAGACCTCCTACTCCCCATCACTCCCATGACCTCTTTCTTCCTGATCGTGTGTGACCCTCAGCATCGGCCCGTCTTTTCAACCGTCGGATCTGGAAGTGTGCGCGGCATTTACCCCTGAGGCTGGAATTCGAAGCAACCCCGGACGCTGACCCCTGCTGTTGGGCCTTGTTTGTGGGAGCGTGTGACCCGACAGCCCTAGTCGGTCTCTCTCTCGCTCGCTTGCTCGCTCGCTGCTGGGGTTAGGTCTGCGAGCAGGGCCAAAGCCCCCCCCTTCTAGCTTTATTGGTGGAAGAAGGGCATTGGGGTCTGTGGTGGGAGTTCTTCCCCCGTGGATTTTGCAACATGTGGGGAGCGTCCGGTGCCCCCAGTCCCTGAACTTTAGCCTGCATCCCGGCCTCATCGCCGCGCCCTCTGAGGCTAAGTCCTTAGTCCCTCACCGGACGCTTCCCCCATGTGTGGTCCTTGTGTTGATGCAGCTCCCCCTGGACTAACATGTACACGAGCAACACAATGCTAAGGATAGTAGCAACAGCTTAGGCCAGGACCGATGGAAAAGGCAAAAGCGACAGCAAGTATCACAGTGTGTTGGGACAGCTGCTTTCTAAACAAACGAGGGTGCTTGGAGGTTGGTGTTCTCCCCTCTTTAAGCTCCTCACAAACGGTAATTCTCCAAAGTGCAGTTCCTTTTCAATAGTGGTACGAATTTCAGGCACACCTCTATCTGGAAGCAGAGTGTCTGGTAGCATGCAGGAGAAGAAGGGGGGCGTGTGGCTCCCCCGGCATGGTAGTGGTCTATGGCTCCGCGGCCCGTCAGAACTAGGCTTGGCATAGCAAGCGCAAAGAAAAAGGCTGTAGCAGTGCAAGGTTTAAAAGGTTGCGCTCCCCCACACTTAGTGCTTCCCACTTCTGCTCAGGTGTTCTTGTACACGTTGTAGAGCGCCCCGCCGTCTTTTGGCTAGGATCTGCTTTCGCATCTGGCGGGTTTTCTTGAGCAGTCCTTCCCGGTTGGTCGACCCGTGGAAGCGGCATGCTGGGTCCATTGTACCACGTAGTTTGTGCATCACTACGCCCCCCTTCTTGCCCAAGTCACGATCTTGAAGTTGACAAAGTCCCTCACCCAATGGAGTGGTTCTTTTTGCGAACCGTAGCTGTCGAGTCAAAGGCGCAAGCGACGAAGAGTGCGTCCCCCTCTGCTTTGAAGCGCCCGCGCAGAAGGTCTTGCAATTGCGAGGTCGTCGGTCTCGAGGTAGGATTTCGTTCGTGCCGCTCTCGAGTATGGCCACGCTTTCCCCGGTCGAGGCGGCACAAGCCCTCAAGCAAAGGTTCAGCACTTGAGCTCGGTCTCTTCTTCTGCCGGGCATGAAGGGCTGCTTAGACCCCTCGGCCACATGTTTTGTGGGGACTTTGGAGGAGTATGAGAATGGTTTGTTTCCCCCCAGGACTCCATCTGACTTGATTGTTTGTTTGATTGCTAAGAGGCTACATTATTCCCCCCGAGAATCTCAAACTCTTTTTGAAAGGTTCAGGAGACTCAAGGGGCCGGTTTTCGAAGAAAGCAATACAACTGAAGATGACATGGTTTCGGGTCCCCCTTGTGTCTCTTCTCAGCAGCTCGGTCTCTCTCTCTCTCTCTCTCTGTTTCTGGCTCCGCTTGCTCTCTCAGACGCTACTACACCCGCCATGCATGCCCGCAGCTGCTGACCAGTTGCAGGATCGTTCTCCTGAAGTACCCATTATGTGGCAGGAACTTGCTGACATGCCGAGCAGGTGGATGCAGGGCAAGGTTTCTGCCATTTCTGCTGCAAGCCCCGGACTCCTGAATGCCCAGCAGCAGCGATGCTGAGTGGTCTTGGTCAACGTGCACACAACACTCCTCACATGCCTCAGCTTCGAGAGCATGGTACGGGACACGATGCGGACGCAGCAAAAACATCGAAAACATTACAGAACCCGCTCACCCAGAACGACACTGTCCAGCCGGAGAGTCGATCTGACCACCCCAACCCCCTCTTTCCCCAACCTTAAACCCTGTGTGAGATACCCCATCCCGTGATCGCTGCTTGCTTTGCCTTTTGTGGCTCCAGTAAGATTGAGATTCTGGGCATCGGCGTTTTTGCCAGCCAACACGCGGAACCTGTTTCCGGGATGAATACTTTGTTCAGACCGCCCTTACCCAGTTCCATAACAACGAAAATCAACCAGGACTGCCTGACGCGACGGACTGATACCGACACGACACCAAGCAGTTGGAGGGCTCGGCTGTAGCAGTTTCAGTGCGCCGAGCTCCAGGGAGGAAGACTGTCGTCTATGGAAAGGCCGGTGACATGTAATCCTTCGAAGCAGGCCTCCTTTCTGTGCAACTAGGTCTGCTAACCTTTGTGAGCACTAGACCCTGTAGGATTACAGCAGTTCAAGAATAATGGCTGATACGATTTCAGTAATGTTTCAATACAGCGCGCAACTCCAAGGCCGCCGCATCGTTTGCAAAGCCAATTTGAATGCAATCTGAAATACGAATCAAACACCGATGCTCCTTTCGGAAGAATGGAGGCCGGCGGTGCCGACTGCTCAGGTTCGCGCTGGCTCTGATACGCTTCTTTGAGGAGACTTTATCTACATGCCTTGGATTCCGTGTTTTGTTTTGTTGATTTCTGTACGGGGCACGACCAGGGTGCATGGATTCCCATGAGAATCAGAGATATTCTGATATCTGATAGCTTCTTTCACAACGTAAAGCAATCCCGCATGTATGACATCATCGCGCAGAAGAGCGAATCCTGGTCAGTTGTAGAAGTCAGTTTGGCTCAGTTGAACTGGCCACGATTTCGGAGATGGAAAGCATCATGATGTCAACACGATGGCCATAAACTCCGCCTGAAGCAATACGATTTCAATACCGGAGCCACGACATTCCAATACGGTATGGCAGAAGGCCGGTGACAGCAGATGCGTTGTGGACACGCTTCCTTGGAGCCCAAGCTGCTTAGCACCTCTCCCCGATCACCAACCACCTTCTGCCGAAATCGAATTCGACATGTGTGACCCTTGCGGCATTTAAGCTTCATGAAAGCTGTGCTGTCTTACTACTTTCCTGTGTTCCTTTCCTGCTTGTTCGCGGTCTTTCATGGTGATTCCTCCCTCAAAACAAACGCCCAAGCAGAACCGCAAGAACGACGTACCGCAGCAAAAACATTATCCTCTCCCAATGCCACGATGCTTGGCAGCCTTTCGACCTGCACGTCGGGCAAGTCTCTTTGCACGAAGGCACACCTCATCACGAAAGTGATTCTGGTGCAAAGGTCGCAAGCCACCCCGACAAGCTGAAACAGCGGCACACTTGACAACCTGCAGCCACCCAGACCGTCACACAACAAAGCACGGATAGAATTCCGACAGTTTCCGCAGTGTCTCGGCATCGGCTTCAGCAGGGCTCTCCCGCATCGGATCACAGCACGGGGTTCCGAAAGACGATCCCACGGGCTCCTCTCTCTCCCTGGTAAAGGTTCGACTCGGGCTCGCACCTAGGAGCTTTGCCACCGGTGGCGGCGGCGAATGGTTTTCGCTGCAGTTGGAAAGAACTGCCATGTAGCCTGCAGCATGACTCAAACTGTTCTCATTCTCGGTTGAAACAGAGTTTCACCGAGAGCAACCCCACTGTTGGAGCGCAAATCCTAACGTCACACTTATCTTATCCCTGCAGACCACGATTCAAAAGCAGCAACTTGCTGCCTTCACATTTCATGCCACAACACATCTGAACCTAGCACAGGGACCTTGGCCCACATACGTCTGCACTGATCCGCCGTCAGCTGGATCGACGGCCGCGACACCTTGCCAGATGGTCAGCATTGCGGCACGGATGTCCGAAGGTGCTCCAAGATGCACGTCATGGGAGCGCAGCGCATTCGGAAAGAAATGCTGAAAGCATCTCACCTGGATCTTTCTTTGGCAGCGCCGGGGGCTTATACCAGCGGAATGACTGCCACCTGAATGGACAGAATTCTGTCATGCTGCCCTAGGCATTCTGCATTGTTCCAAGGAGCACATCTGAATTCGTTGCATTCTCAAGGACTTTCACCATGTCCGTGTCCAGCAAATCAGCCAGCACCTGGGACGATCAAGGCTTCAACTGATTTCCATTTCCATCCATCCATACAACGAGCACTGGGAGTCGGGGTTCGAGAACAAGCGGTGTGAGGATTACAGCATCAAGCAGCTGCCTCGTTGCACTTGCCTCGCAGTTCTGCTGTGCCAGGGAAAGTCCTGTTTCTGCTCAGCTGGATGCCGACCTTACACTGGACAACTTCGAGCTGGAAACACTCCCCCGTGTCAGATCATCGTGCCGCCACATCAGACAGGCAGCTCCATGCAAGCGCCCCTTCTGCTGCGGTCGAGAAGACTTCTCTGCCCATGTGTCCCAGTAGGTGTTGCCTGCGATACTCGATACAAGTAGTCACGGTCTCCATGGGCTGGTGCATAACATCAGTAAACCTTCGAAATGCCTGGCCCCTGGTTAGTCCAGCACATCTCGCATCACAACGATGGCTCGGCCATGTGCCGTCATGTGCCTTGTTGGATGAGAGCTTGAACCTTCCTCGGCAAACCCATCCAGAAGAAATAGTTGCATAGTTGCATGTTGACCACCAGGACTCGACTGAAAAACGTGAGATACTCGTGAGCCGTAGCACCCTGTCTTCTTCCGCCCTTCTGCAGCCACAACAAGATGGATTCGGCTGGTGATGGCATGTCTATGTGCATCTGTTCGCTGCTGTATGTGCGCGTGCAGAATGCAGAAACAGGTATGCAGGGATCGAGGCATGCATCGATTTATTGCATACAAGTTTAGATGTACACCCATACATGTAGGCATCCGCGTCATCCACTTTTGATTGTGGTGCACATGCATCTTTTCGTGCACGCTTGCGCGCATTTTGTTTACTTGACAGACTGACATTTTGCCTGGATGCTCGGTTTCGGTCAATTGGGACGGGTGAATGCTTGGCTTAGCCAAGTTTAGTCTTAGCCAGCCGGCGAGTTGACTGCTTTGCCAGCCAGCAAGCTTGCCCCTGACTGGGCTGGACAGATACTACGTGTATGGTGGAAACCAGTGACCTCTAACCATGTAGGTATCCGTAAGTATCCGACGGGGCAGATAGTGTCTGATGGGCAGAAACGTCTAACCTGCTGATATCTGACCGGCGGGTGCCCAGATCGACACATAGGGAAATAAAAAGGTATAACGAAAGAATTCCCACACCCGCCTCACACTCACGCCGACCTCTTCCAAAAGAATTCCCACACCCACCTGACACAAAAGAAACACCACGCGCTTCTCACCGGAAAGAGTGCCCACAAGGACTTCACACAAAAACGTCCACACACCCACCTCACGCAAAAAGAATTCCCACTCCCACCTCACGCAAAGGAATTCCCACATGCCCCCACCTCACGCAAAAGAACACACACAAACAAACAAACAAACAAACAAACAAACAAACAAACAAACAAACACACACGCGCGACCTCACACAAAAGAACTCCCACATCCCACACCCACCTCACGCAAAAGAATTCCCACACAAGCCAACATACAACCACAGCCGACACTGTCAAACATGCACATCCCTTCGTGGTGTCCTTTCATTCCTCATCGGTGTAGCCAAGAGAAGATTGGATATGTGGGAATATCCGGCACCATTAGCTTGTTGTTTGGTGTTGCTTGTTGTTGCTCGCTGTTACTTGTTGTTGTTTGTTATTGTTTTGTTGCTGCTTGTTGCTGATAGATGTTGCTTGTTGCTGCTTGTTGCTGCTTGTCGCTGCTTGTCGCTGCTTGTTGCGTTGCTGTTGCTGTTGCTGCTGTTGCTGCTGTTGCTGCTGTTGCTGCTGTTGCTGCTGTAGCTGCAGCTGTAGCCGTAGCTGTTGTTGCTGTTTCTGTTTCTGTTGCAGTTGCTGTTTCTGTTGCAGTTGCAGTTGCTGCTGCTGCTGTTGCTGGTGCTGGTGCTGGTGCTGTTGCTGGTGCTGGTGCTGGTGCTGGTGCTGGTGCTGCTGCTGGTGCTGGTGCTGTTGCTGTTGCTGCTGGTGGTGGTCGGTAGAGATCAAGGGAGCGAGAGGAGCGAGGGAGGGAGGGACTGAGGGAGGCGAGAGAATACCAATCAGGCTCACAAAAATTGAAGCGAGCGTCTCGTGCACAGTCTGCGGCACCGGCCCAACCACGCAGTGCATCCGTTTACCTTCTGTTTCAAAGAGGGGCGGCACACCTCGGAGGACCCGCGGGCCAGACTTGAACACACAAAATCACTGGAGACCAGCTGACTAGCTCAGATGCTCTGGGCGGCCGCGCCTCGCCCGACATTGCAGCATTGAACGTGGCGATTGTGGGGCCTTGTTGCGACTTTCTCATCAGTCCAGCCATGGATGGCTTTCACGGAATTTCTCTCGCGCTCACACATAAATCCAATGACTGGGTCATACGGCAACACCGCCGAAACAGATGGCAATAAATCCGTTGCAGGGAAGCGTCACGGAACCAGCTTCTGGCTGGAAGCACAGGTGACACTTGCAGCTGTCGTATCGGTGCAGTCGCAGGGAGATTGTGTGATTTGTTGTACCTTGGATCTTGACATATCGGTATCGAAGACTCATGAAAACATCCAGGTGTGTGGTGCACTACGCTGGCAATGGCACCTCACCAATCTGGACACGGAGGTTGCGTGAAACACAGAGTGCAGCAGAGAAAGCGCACTCCCTGAACATGGAAACGTTTAGACGGATCGCAATGTCCGCAGCTATACAGTGCAGGCTGGACTTCTAGAGCAGGGATTGATTCATAATGCTGCAGAAAAATTCGTAGGGTCTAAAGGTTTCTTGATGTTCCATACTGAGCCCGCAGAAGAAGCCTACACCGAAAAGTCGTGACACTCACACCTGTTGGGATCTTCGGCTGCCTTGCCCTGATTTAGATGTGGTTTGCTGCATTCACGCAGCCATGCTTGATCATCTTCGGTGGGGCTGGGCGTCGGCAAAATGCCGTGCCTGGCGAACTTGAGCGAAGAATTTGTATGGCGACGAGCAGTGTTGAGGGCCAGCAGGCCTACAGGGCAGGGACCGACCCACGCCCGGCTGAACGTGAATGGGGTCCGGGTCAGGCTGTGCCCCGGCTCCAGTGGACTCCAGTCCAATGCTGCGAGATGGCCTGATGCGCACTGCAGATCTGCATTGGACTGACGATTCGCACACTGATCCATCATTTCATGCTTAGAATACAATGCCGCCTCTCCATCACCCGACTGTCCACGTTGCTGGAGCTTGACGACACAACCAATCGCGATCGAAAAGGAAGCTGAGCCGATGTGCACTAAAACAGCTTGAAGCCCCCAAGATCGCTTGAACGGACCCATTCGCAACAAGTACACCAAACCTCAATCAGTGAATGTCCTTCGATGCTATCCGGGGCTCCAACGCAAACCCATGATCTAACCGAACAGCCTATCAAATCCACCCCAGGAGGGATTGAACAAATCTGGTGGGCAGATCAGGCAAGAAGTATCAGTCTCATGTTCTAGCAAAGCCTGGAGTGACGCTCGCTCTGAGCATCTGGAAGCAACTGAAGCAACTGCCAGGCACATGCGCCCGTAGCTGGATACAATCAAGATCAATCAACTGAGGCATTTGGCATGTCGAAACATGTGAGATACGGTCGGCGGGACGGAGCCAAAACGACTTTCCGTTTGTTGGCCCTCTCACTCCATGTTTGCAGGACGGCCCTCGTGACGTCTGCGAAAACTCACGAAACCCAGCCTTGAATTAACAAAAAGAAGCGAGATGAAGTTCGATGTCCGAGGTGCTCCAGACTGTGACGTTCAAGCGAGTTCCCGGCCAGTACAAGCCGCCCGGAGCAGCGGCACCTATATAGTTACCCTTCCTCAGGTAACACTGGAACTGCGGAAGTCAAGGAGAAAACCTTGTGGATCTGGACTGGATAACATGCGCGCTCTAGCTGCGGTCGTGGTCGTGGCGGTCGTGGTGGCCGTGGTGGTCGTTGTGGTGGTACTGGTGGTCGTGGCGGACATGGTGATCGCAGTTTTCACGGTGGCGGTCGTTGCGGTGGTGGCAGCCGTGGGGGTCGTGACGGTCGTGGCGGTCGTGGTGGTGGTGGTGGTGGTGGTGGTGGTGGTGGTGGTGGTGGTGGTGGTGGTGGTGGTCGTGGTGCTTGTTGTGGTTGCTGCAGTGGTTGTGGCTGTTGTGGCTGCCAGTATCTTCTCACATAGCGCATGCTCTTTGACTCCGTGAAGATCTGCGCTGGCATGACTTTGATCTTTACTGCAACAGTCGGGCAGTGAATCCAAATTCCTAGTCCTGATGCAAACGGGATTCTCCAGGATACCATCAGCAGCAGCGCCAATGTCAACATGAATGCAATCATCCCAGTCTCGAGAAACGACACCTTGATGCATTCAGAACTGGTACGCCCCACGAGGTCACCGTGCAAACGCGTGCTGACCCGGACCTCTCACAGATCTTTCGATGCTCCCTCCTACATGCTGTCACTCCCTCGTGCATAGAGCACCTTCGACAAGTTCACCTTCTTGGAAGTCCGCCATCTTCCTTGAGTCATTCATGCAGTTTGTAGGAAGCAGAGTAGCGTCACGCTCCGAGTCGACGCGCAGCTGAGATTGCATAAACGCACCGGCATACGTCAAGCTTACCAAACAAAGGACATCGAATGTCCTCCTCTTAAATAATCCTTGTCAACTCAACTCCTGTTCATGCTTGCAGAGAACCAACCCCCTGGCCAAAAGACCCAGTCCCCCATTGCTGTTCATTTTCGTCCGCCTCTTGCCTGCTCGGGTTACAAGATGTCATCATCTTGAATGTGCGAAAGGACTCTCCGTCTTTGCTCAATCCCAACTGACCAGTTTACTCCAAAAAAATCAGGGTACTGAGCACTCCGAAGTTGCTCGGAAACCCTTTGAACTGCTGGACTGCTGGAATTGGCACATACCGTAATTGATCTTGTAGTCTCTCCCGCAAACCAGTCGTTTTGAGGACCCGTGGCGCATGTCCAACATGCCCAGTCCCCTCCGAATGCACATTACAAAAGCCATCTCTCCGTCTGCTCCAGTCACATAATGCAGAAAACTGCACGTATGTGCAAGCCGTCTCCACACCCACTCACACCCACCTCCTTTGGCTTGATTGTTCTCTGCACGCATGCTTAAGTGCATTCTGTCGTGTCCACTCCAGGGTTGCTCACACCTCCTTGGATCCTTTTTGTCTCTTCGGTTCGGATCCGAGTGTGGGTGAGATCCTTGCGTCCCACCCCCCATTGCCCAAACCCGCCTTTGTTCAATGCTTCTCCATCCCACTTGTTCGCTTGGGCTGCAGGATGTCAAGCAGCTGCATGTGTATCCTACCGACCCTACCGACCCCAAACGATCAAGTCAGCCTTCGGTCTTTTCTTGACACCCGGTGTCAAACCGCTGGAAAAAAAACATGCCCAACCACCTTCAGTTTTACTCCAATTCTGATTTTGACCATTTCGCCCGGTGCTACCATTTCTAGATGTCACTCGCCTCCAAATGCCTCCAATGCACTTTAAGGGCGGAGCATTTCTGGGCATCGGTGGTCCCTCTCCCTCTAGGCTGCTATTAGGGTTGAGGGTTATCTTGACTTTCGCTATTCATGCTACTATTTCTTACTGTAATTGTAGATGTCACGGTAATGGTCATGGTAATCGTAATGGTGATAGTACTAGCAATAGCAATGGTCACAGTAATAGTAGTACTAATGGTAATAATGAAGCAATAGTAAGTATAGGACGAGTAGTAATGGCAAAAATAAGAGTAATAGTAACAGTAGTAGTATTAGTAATAGTACTGGTGATAATAATAGAAATATATAAAAATAGTAATAACAACAAAAATAGCAATACAAATAGTGATAGTAATATGCAATAATGATATGCGTATAGATATTTGTATATTATATATATACATACATACAATTATGTACATTGGAACATAACGTACACTTCGCTTTCATCGTCCATAGTACTATTATATAATTATATTTGTATTATGTAAACAGTGAAATTGCCATGCATACTAATATTGACAGCAAGCACGCGAAAAGGCCACAGATGCACACATATAATGGCAACAAAAGTAGGCCCGCCACCATATTCATTCAACTACATAGCACCGTTGTTTCAATTACCAGGCCATGCCGAATGTTTTGTTTCATTGCTCGAGCTACATCTACGTTTGCAGCACGTGGCCGCTTGTGCACGACAGCAGCTTCCTCAGCCGCCAAGTCCTCATGACTTCGAGCAGTGTTTCAACTGCAGCACATTTGGATAAATCAGCACACGTCAGGGCACGGACCGTCAGAGCACAGCACGTCAGCACACTCCGCGTGTCCTCGTCCATTTCCATGAGGACATCCAGTGTCATGGCATGAACCTTTCTCTCTGCCCCCTTCGGATGCCTGCATGTGATTTGCATGGCAGCCTAATAGTTTGGCATCGGCCTTCAACCCGGCGTCGTGTCAACGAACGCTGGCTGATTTTCCCGTAGTTCCCACGACATCGCTTCAAGCTAACTGATGCTAACTTTCTAAACCGGCGTATGATATGGCCTTGCAACAAGAGTCTAGTCGGCTCACTCGCTCTCGTACCCTCTGCTACCATGTTGGGCCTCCTGGCCGCTTGCTGTCGCAGCAAGGCAAAGGTGCAGCAGTGCAAACTCCATGCGCAGGCAGCCTCACCAGTTTGCTCGAGGCGTTACGTCAGTGTGCCGCTCCAAACACGTTTTAGAATTGCAGGATGAGATGCATCTGCGTGGGCTGCCGGTACCAGTAACATACACAGGAGGGAGTTCAGAGGCCGAGCTATCGAGCACTTGTGGTGCTGGCATGAAGCTCAGAGTCTGGCGAGGAAGATCCATAAGCAGACGGCTGCACGGGTAACCCTTGAGCGAACCTGCGAAGGCTCTTCTTGTGCACAGAGAGAGGTGTTCCATGTCCTGCACACACAAAAACCGCCTAATCCCGACATCGTTGCATGCCGCCAAGTCACACGGCTTCTCTGCATCATCCACACGGAAAGTGCAAAACATGGAAAATGTTTGCATACATCGGATTCTACCTGATCCTAGCTGTACGTGAGTAGAACTTTAAGTTATGCTTTCGTGATCGGCTCGGTCCTGCCTTTGGACTTACGTGCAACGGCATGCAACTCTCTGAATCACCACTCTAAGCTTGGGCCTGCAGCAGAGTGGCTGCGTGCTGCGAAGTTTATTCGCAGGCATGTGCATCGAGCAGTCGTGAGCTGTTGATACTTTTGCTGGGCCCGGGCTTCAAGAACTTCTCGAAACACCTGACAACTCAGACATGAGGCAAGGGCAAAGTCATGTAGTAGAATCTCATTGCGCACGCGCATGTATTCGCAGCATCACGAAGTCTTTGCTGAGGGCAACCAGAAAAACGACAAAACAGAAGTGTCAAACCTTCGAGCCCGCCCGAGCCTCCACGGCAGCTTCGGGCTGAACTGCAGCCTCTACTAAGCGGTGCGGCGGGACTCTTGCTTTCCTCCGTGTAACTGAGCGCTGCACCATCCTTTCGATGATCCGGGCAATGAGCATTACGGAAACCGGCGAGACTGTGAAGCGCCGAGCGTATCTGCAACAAATGGATTGCCAGGCTTTGCCACTCAGCTCTACGCCCAGGTCCGCCATGGTCCGCCTGATTGCCATGCCCATGCAATCCTGGGACAAGGCCGATGCTGGTGACTCGTAGCGCTCGCATAAAAGGCAAAGCTTGATGGCTGGCGATGCAAATGCCTGACCCTGCGGTAAAGACTCCACGAGATCGCTGCTGACCGGGAACCCTTTTCTGAGAATCAAACTCCATAGGCCATGCGTCGGCGAAGTGTTTCACCATCTGCCCGAGGGCAGCGATACCTCGCTGCCGACTCTCCACAGATCCACGGAGAAGACCACACAGGGCTGCCGCAAGATGCACTGCTTCTCTAATGATTTGTTACCTCAGGGCTTTGCAGCCGTCGCGCGCTCTCTGCCTGCGGCAACTAGGGCATGTACTGCAGGCAAACCGCTAGCAACCCCAATGAACCTCGCATGCAAGCTCCGATTGAATAGCCCGAGGCCCTAGCAGGCCATCTGCGCAATGCTTCAAGAGCAGCCTGAATGCCAGAACGAGTGTCAACATGAGTCCATTGGTGCGTCGTTCTGCAAGACATATTGACTCATTCCGTGCGTCTGGCTCTTTCCTTGTGATCTTGACTGAGAGTGGAGCAGGTGTTTGAACCTCGCACGGCTTCAGGTAGACCTGGCAGAATTGAAAGACGGCTGCTCGAACCAAGGGGCCTAGGGGGTCATGAGCTTGAACATGTGGTCAGGCGAACAACTGCAGCAACTACGGCTTTCGCGACAGACGACACTCACCTTCGAGGAACATGGTCTCTCGCAGTACTGGAGCTTCTGCTTCTTCCATACATCGGGAGAACTTGAGCCTGCTTCCTAAGAGAGTAAGACAAAAACAGTGTTCCAAGCCTTGTCCTGGTCAGCAGAGTGCGAGGCAAAGCCTAAAGCTGCAACGCCGGCCTGCAGAAACGTACAGGGTCCACGTCTTGCGGCAAATGCCGATAGCAGGAAAAAGGCCCCGGCTTCCAGTGTGATCCCGTGCATTTTGAGAAAAAGCGATTTGATGTCGCCACCTTCGCCAAAGAGCGAAGACGAGGACGAGAGCGAACAGCACAACAGCACGGAGCACAGGCTGCCACGTTCGGCATCCAAAGCCCGCAGGTTGTTGCTCAAGCACACCTGGAGCCTCAATGCAATGCAGCGACTGGCTTCCGAACCTTTTCCGGCACTCTCATGCCTGGTGAAGCGACGAAATCAAGCTCCAGACTCACCCCCTAAGGGGGCAAGAGCCAGCGCCAAAGCTGGTACCTGAAAACTCAAGCAGTGAGCTTGCTCCGGAGCTTCTTAGCTCTTCGTGATACGTGAAGACCATCAAAGCAAAACGGAAAAAGTATGCGACTATATGCGAATATCAGGATGTGAAGCTCTGCCAGAAGCTTCCGGATATTTTCGGATTGCCAGGCCCGAAAATGACTTGCCTTCAGACAGTGCATATCCCGGCCTGGCCCTGTAAATTCAATGCCAAGCTGCACCGACATGATCTGCCACGTTCGAGCTGAAGACCCGGTCAAACTGTCCTCGGCATTACAAAAATGCACTGTTCGTATCGATTGTCCTCATCTGCACTGCTCACACATGTTGCACGTGTGCCGGCCATGTGTCTACACTTTGGTCTTGAACTATCCTTCCGCCTGTTCACCATACTCTTCGCAACGAAAATCACAGTTAAGTTCGAGGGCAGCCGGAGACAGCAAGTTTCTCTGCATGCCCGACGGTGACTGCAGCAAATACTAGTTTTCACTGCATGAAGAATGCAGGCACGAAAGCACGATGGCAGCACAACTACAAACCTCAGGTACATGAAGAGACAAGGGAGCAGGCGGTTATACCTCTTGCCTGACAGAACTGTAAACATGGACGGACGGACGGACGGACGGACATGACGGACAGACAGATCTGTAAATATTTCTTCAACTCTGCGGCTCTAAGCCCTTTCTGGGGTGGTCCGTACTAGGGCCTAGTCTCATATTGTCAAGGTTCCTGCCATTCGTGCATCTCACTAATCGTCCATGGTCTGAGTTTTCGGATGTAAGGGTTTCGGGTCAAGAACTTAGGGTTTGCGGTCTAGGGTTCAGGGTGAAGGATTTAGGGGGCATGTTTTGCGAACAGCATGACACTTTGCCAAGCCTTGCAACTGCATTGCCTGAAGTGCGGACCGAGCTACTTCCTTTGAGGTTCACTGGCAAAGCCTGGAGAGGTGCCGCAATCAAGCAAAACGCCGCAGACCGCTCTCGACTGACAAGTCATCAAACGGGCAGTCCTGGGGCGTGGGCAAGACAGTCGCAAGCAATGCAGGACCAGCTGACTCTCTGATGCTGAAACCTTTGATCGACCACACAATGCAGGACAACCGGTGTCTCATTCTGAGGGCCTCGCCATCCATCTGATATCTCTGCCATCACCACGAGAAACCTTGGCCTCGAGCTACCGGAAGCACCGGCGACGGAAAATCACTGACGCCAGCAAGATCGGGCTAAGTGCATGACAGCAGGGCTCCGCAAGCTCGGAGATACTCGCTTCGACTGGGCTGACCCTGGTCCTTGCAGGGCAAGGACTGGCTAATGCTTTCGAAGAGGGAAAGATGGTCCACTCGGCGCATTTTCTGTATGCACTCTGAACCCCTCACTCTAAAGGCAGTAGGGGAATGACTCCTGCAATGTCACTGTCAGCAAAACATTCGCAGCCAAGGCACCGGATCGAACTCGGCGTCCAATTCCGGCCTTCATGCGATGCGATGAGTTGCGAATCGAAAATCCAAACTCCCCTTACGTGTTCATCGTATGATCAAGCATTCCCGTTGTTTCCATGCTTTGTCGTGCTTCGACTACAGGCCATGCGTGCTCACCTTGCTGCGGCATTGGGCTGAGCTGGCAAACACGCAAACGCCAGGCCATGTGTGAGTTGCGGACCACAACAGAACACCATCGCCGGCTTCCTGCAACTCGCCACACAGACAAGACATCGGCAATCATCGGCATGTTGTCATTCACACTTCGTGCTAGTTGTATGCCGCATCTCCGGCCTATGCAGGATAACATGACTCAATGACAAGCTACCATAAACGCATCACGTCCTGCCACCCGCCGGGAGGCTTCTTCTCCCTGTACCTCGACCCGTGCTCCCCATGCTAAGCCGCCAGTCTGTGCAACCAATCTGCATCTTAACGTCGAGAAAAAAAACAATATGGTGCTATCCATGTCTTCGGTGGCGAAGGTTTGCCACACTTGCCATGACTAAAACAACTCTGACCCTGTGATACCCAATGCCCTGAAGTTCTGCGAACTCTGCGGCGCGGGCAAATTGTAAAACAAGTGTGCCGCTGGGTGCAGAAGCCTGATCGAATGAATGCCGGAACTGGTCTTTGAGTTTTGGAATGACATCCCAATTTTTCTTAGCTGCGGCAAGATCGAGTATGTCATTCGTGCTGTTGTTCGGCTGCAGTACTACTTCACACTGTCGGATTGCGATTGGTCCGACAATAGGCTGCAAAGAGTAACATGCGCTAGAAGAAGGGCAAACAGAAGCAGAATCCTGGATCAGCCCCGATGGAACGGCCCTGGGCCAAATATTGCCAACCTGTTATGTTCTGGCCAGCCAGTGATACTGCAGTGAATGACTTTGCACAGTCTGCAGGTTCTGTCCGAACTGAGATGAGCACGTAATGTTGTCGACAGATGGAATACCTTCACCAGGTCTTTCGCACCGTGCCTCATTGCGCCTTTATTGGGTTTAGATGACGTCTTATGCATGGAGGAAGTGGAAAAGATGTTAACACGGAACCGATTGCAACCCCTGTTGCGCCCTGAGCCTCCATTTTGGAAGAAGCTTGGCGATGCCATTCCCTCCTCACATCCTAGCAGTACCTACCTGGACTTGACGCCACTCAAGTTGACAACTTTCGCTGGCGATTTCAGGGACTGTCCCTCTGTGTGTGTGTGTGTGTGTGTGTGTGTGTGTGTGTGTGTGTGTGTGTGTGTGTGTGTGTGTGTGTGTGTGTGTGTGTGTGTGTGTGTGTGTGGGTGTGTGTGTTTGTGTGTGTGTGTGTGTGTGTGTGTGTGTGTGTGTGTGTGTGTGTGTGTGTGTGTGTGTGTGTGTGTGTGTGTGTGTGTGTGTGTGTGTGTGTGTGTGTGTGTGTGTGTGTGTGTGTGTGTGTGTGTGTGTGTGTGTGTGTGTGGTGTGTGTGTGTGTGTGTGTGTGTGTGTGTGTGTGTGTGTGTGTGTGTGTGTGTGTGTGTGTGTGTGTGTGTGTGTGTGTGTGTGTGTGTGTGTGTGTGTGTGTGTGTGTGTGTGTGTGTGTGTGTGTGTGCGTGTGCGTGTGTGTCGGCATCGGAGTGAGAGGCTTGCGGTGATCAGCCCAGCTGATACAAGCTGCAAGTTGCTCTATGTTTGAGCTTCTGTGGCTAGTTGTAGTCCATTGTAGTCGCGATGGGCTTCCCTTGATTTCCCTTGCAAGAATGCACAGAAGGAGGCGAAGCACACGGCCAGCCTTGCCCGGCAAACAGCTGCAACACCTGCCGAGGAGTCAAGTTCCAGCACGCTTCTAGTGCTTGTCACGTAAAAGAACGCACACCATTAGTGGTTTCCTTACGCGTGTCGGGACTTCCTGTTGCGTTTGCCGCTTCTCGGTATTGCTTTCGTTCTCGGTAGCACTGCTTGCTCTTTCCGTTGGCAAAGCCATGCCTCACACTCAAGCTTTGAGATTGAGTCAGGCCTCGCGCATCTTGCAATCCTCGCACTCACCAGGCGAGGCCTGAAGCACCTCCGGGCTGCGCGGGACGTTCAAAGCAGTTCGAAAGGGTCTCGGAGTGCTCTACCTCGCGCAGGTCTTCAGCTTCGCTTGTAAGAGTTCGCTTTACAGCCAGCTCAGCATCCCCGCGACCCGCAGTATTGCCTGCCATGAACACAAGGTGGATCAGCGAGTGCACTTCTGGACAGTCGCAGCCTTCGGCCATCCAGGCCGTCCACCAACGTTTCAGCACCTCGCAGCGTGACGAGATTGCACTTTCTCCGCCGGAAAACTCGAGTAGCGCATTGGAATCCGCCGCCCAGGCGCGGTACAGGTAGCGTGACAACAATTCCCTGTGGGGGTCGCAAACACCAACCACAGGAACGGAGGGTGACCGTTGAACTGGCAACATGCATGGAATTTCGTGACTGCGATTGTCCTGCGTCCATGATGTCCTTCGCGGCGGCCGCAATCAATTTCAGCAACACGGCTGGGAGCTCCTGGACATGTGCTGGCATTGTACGCGCAAAAATTCTGTATGCCACTGTATGCCATATCTTGTCCGTTCCCGTCACACTCAGAGCATGCTCAGAAGTCATCAGGAGACCAGGGCCCTTGCATGCTGCCACCACAGACAGAAGACGGCCATCCTGTTAATGTGCGCTCTGGGAAATCAAAGTCGATCGAAGCATGGAGAGACAATGTCACCGCAGGCTCTTCGAAGGCTCAGCCGCAGACAATCGACGATGCAACTCCTCGCTCCTGCGAGCTAAGAACAACCCAACAGAGCTCAGGAAGAGCAAATGCTGTCGTCCCCGTTTGGAATCTTGTTGGACACCGCGGGACAAGCAGCCCTTAAAGGTGCGAACTCCTGAGGCTATCTATCCAACGAGCAACCGCTCAACGAACTCTCAAGAGCTCCCAGAGAGAAGACGAAGGATCAGCGCGTTGCGAGCTGCTGTCTCGCCCTGCTCAAACTATCTCAGACGTGCAGCGCAAGCCGTCAGTAACGTGGCTGCTGAAGATTGCTCCACTTTCACCGCTTGCACATACTCCGCTTTGCTTGAAAAACGGGACCAGTCGGTGACACAATCTTGCTCTGACTGAGGCACTAACATTGAGATCATTCAAGACCTCAGCCATGATCCCTGTTTGATATTTCATTTCTGTGAGAGGTGCCTGTGGGGGCTCCTAGTTGGCTGCGGGCACGCCTGCTACTACGACATGCTACGACACAAGGCAACTAGTAAGCATAGCAATTAACATGTTCAGAATCATGATATGATGACAATCATTGCTCGTTCGACTCATAGTCCAATTCGTTTGGACAATGAAAACAGAAAGGAAAACACAAAACACAAAACAGAGCTGGGATTACTGTATTGCTGCTGCTACTACTACTTCTTCTGCTAAATCTGCATCTACGTCTACTTCTTCTACCACTACCCCTACCCCTACCCCTACCCCTGCCCCTACCCCCACCCCCACGCTGACCGCTACCGCTACCGCTACCGCTACCGCTACCGCTGCCGCTCCCACTGCCACTGCCACTGCCACTGCCACTACCACTGCCACTGCCACTGCCACTGCCACTGCCACTGCCACTGCCACTGCCACTACCACTACCACTACCACTACCGCTACCGCTACCGCTACCGCTACCGCTACCACTACCACTACCACTACCACTACCACTACCACTACCACTACCACTACCACTACTACTCCGGTGGATGGACGAAGTCTTGCACCACCTGAACGTGCGTACTGCAAACGGTTGAGGCATGAAGCCCTGCACCCCCTGTTTAAAATTGGAAGCAAGGACTGTTTGAGCGGTGCAAGATTTCGGCCATTGGAACAAATGCGGCCCGTAGCTTTTCTCAGCCACTGTTAGAAAGGGGGCACGGGGAAAACAAAAACATGTTTGTGAAAAGTGGTGCAAGATTCTGTCCATCCACAGTCCCTTAGGAGTGTTGCCGGGTGTGTTTTACGAGCGTGAGTGATTGGCCATGGCTTCTGGATCGTTCCCGTGGCTTCAACGACTTTATTTTTGCTGGGATGCAATCGTGCATTCCCGGGAAGCTTCAAAATACATCCAAAACAACAGTCAACACTCAGTCAACACTCAGTCAACACTACAGTCAACACTACAGTCAACACTACCAAAACCCTGGGAAACCAGCAAATTCCGCAATTCACTCGTTTTAAAGCAATAAATAAGCTTTTTAGCTTTTTAATGTCCGAAACAGCAAAATGCTAGATTTTCCAGCATTTTGGCAACGCCGACTGTAGGAGAGAGAGAGAGAGAGAGCCATTTTGGCTCAAGTGCTGCACCTTTGCCCGGAGGCAGTGTTGAGTGAGTGTTGACTGTCATTTTGCATGTATTTGCTGCTTTTCATGGAAACAGAGGGTTTCGTAGCTGTTTCATGTCTGGGGCAGCAAAATGCTCGATTTCCCAGCATTTTGGCAGTGTTGACTGTAGAGTTGACTGTCGGTGGAGTGACTTATTGTGTTGTGTGCCCTGACTCCAGACACCTTGGAAACAGGTGAGAACGCACTGTCATTGCTAGGTGTGCAACAGATGCAGAGTCACTTCTGCCCTTCGGTCCCTTAGGAGTGGTGCCGGGTGTGTTTTACGAGCGTGAGTGATTGGCCATGGCTTCTGGATCGTTCCCGTGGCTTCAACGACTTTATTTTTGCTGGGATGCAATCGTGCATTCCCGGGAAGCTTCAAAATACATCCAAAACAACAGTCAACGCTCAGTCAACACTCAATCAACACTACAGTCAACATTACAGTCAACACTACCAAAACCCTGCTCTGCCACTTGCAACGCTATCCGATCCAGAATCCTTGAGTGTCAGTTTCTTCCGTTTTGCTAGCGATCTTGATCGTATTCCATATTTCAACATAAAAAAGCTACGGTACGCCGAATCCTTAAACCCTGGAGGGCTAAACCCTTAAACTTCTTTAAGGCTTAAAGCCTACGCCGAAGTCCTTAAGCAGACCCTAAACACTAAGAGGAAAGTCGATCCCCAAACCCATCACCCTAAAAGGAGAGCTTGGTAGCCAAACTGGGTGTATGGGAACCGCAAACCTTAAAAGGAGTGGGTGGGTGGGAAACCCTCAAACCCTGAAAGGAGTGGATGGTTGGGAAACCCTCGAACCTTAAAGGAGTGGGGTGGGAAGCCCCCAAACCCTGGGTGGGTGGGAAACCGTCAAACCTTAAAAGGAGTAGGTGGGTGGGAAACCCTCAATCCCTAAAAGGAGTGGGTGGTTGGGAAACCCTTGGGTGGGAAACCCTCAAACCCTAAAAGGAGTGAGTGGGTGGGAACCCTCAATCCCTAAAAGGACTGGATGGTTGGGAAACCCTCGAACCCTAAAAGGAGCGGGTGGGTGGAAAACCCTCAAACCCTCAAAAGGGTGGGTGGGTGGGAAACCCTCAATCCCTAAAAGAAGTGAGTGGTTGGGAAACTTGGGTGGGAAACCCTCAAACCCTAAAAGGAGTGAGTGGGTGGGTAACCCTCAATCCTTAAAAAGACTGGATGGTTGGGAAACCCTCAAACCCTAAAAGGGGTGGGTGCGTGGGAAGCCCTCAAGCCGTAAAAGAAGTGGCTGGTTGGGAAACCCTCAAACCCTAAAAGGAGTGGGTGGGTGGAAAACCCTCAAAACCCTCAAAAGGGTGGGTGGGTGGGAAACCCTCAAACCCTAAAAGGAGTGGGTGGGTGGGAAACCCTCAATCCCTAAAAGGACTGGATGGTTGGGAAACCCTCGAACCCTAAAAGGAGCGGGTGGGTGGGAAACCCTCAATCCCAAAAAGGAGTGGGTGGTTGGGAAACCCTCAAACCCTAAAAGGAGTGGGTGGGAAACCATCAAACCCTAAAAGGAGTGGGTGGGTGGGAAACCCTCAATCCCAAAAAGGAGTGGGTGGTTGGGAAACCCTCGAATCCTAACAGGAGTGTGGGTGGGAAACCCTCAAACCCTAAAAGGAGTGGGTGGCAAACCATCAAACCCTAAAAGGAGTGAGTGGGTGGGAAACCTTCATCCCCAAAAGGGGTGGGTGGTTGGGAAACCCTTGGGTGGGAAACCCTCAAACCCTAAAAAGAGTGAGTGGGTGGGAACCCTCAAGCCGTAAAAGGACTGGATGGTTGGGAAACCCTCGAACCCTAAAAGGAGCAGGTGGGTGGAAAACCCTCAAACCCTCAAAAGGGTGGGTGGGTGGGAAACCCTCAAACCCTAAAAGGTGTGGGTGGGAAACTCTGAAACCCTATAAGGAGTGGGTGAGTCGGAAACCCTCAATCCCTAAAAGGAGTGGGTGGTTGGGAAGCCCTTGGGTGGGAAACCCTCAAGCACTAAAAGGAGTGGGTGGGTGGGTAACCCTCAATCCCGAAAGGAATGGGTGGGTGGGAAACCCTCAAACCCTACAAGGAGTCGGCGCGGGTGGGAAACTCTCAAACCCTAAAAGGAGTGGGTGGGTGGGAAACCCTCAATCCCTAAAGGAGTGGGTGGGTGGGAAACCTTCCAACCCTAAAAGGAGTGGGTGGGTGGGAAACCCTCAAACCCCAAAAGGAGTGGGTGGGAGGGAAACCCTCGAACCCTAAAAGGAGTGGGTGGGTGGGAAACCGTCAAACCCTAAAAGGAGTGGGGTGGGTGGGAAACCCTCAAACCCTCGAAAGGATGAATCTTGAGATACCCAGTGGCCTTTCAGTGGCCACGTCTGACAGGAAGAGTGAGGCCACTTGCAGATTTGCCAAAGATTGTGCGTCGAGGCAAGCGAGCACTTGTCGCCGCAGAGACTCAGGCCATGTGCGCAGGTCCGAGGACTGCAAGGGCCAGAAGCGCATGCTGCTTAAGGAGCCAGACAGTGGCTTCGGCGGCGAGACCTGATGAGAAGCCTGAGGACAAGTGTGCACAAGTGCTTGGGGCAAACCCTAGCCTCTGCGCGTACTAGTACTAGTACTAGTACTACTACTACTACTACTACTACTACTACTACTACTACTACTACTACTACTACTACTACTACTACTACTACTACTACTAGCCAGCCCCCTACCCACTACCTCGGGTTACATACGCTTGTAACACACGTCCGCTTTACTCGCTTTTTGCACTTTCGGCATGTAGCAACATCTTATGAAGCCTCAAAAATAACCTCCGAGTTTTGAAACTCCGGGATCGTTTTCTGAACTGTTCCTTTTGGGGTGGGTGGGAGGGTGCGGGAGGAATGATGACGACATTGTTACGCCGACACCCCGGACAACATCTCCGGAAGAGCCATTTTACTCGGAATGGACAATACTTTCGCGACGTCTGCTATCTTGTATAGTCGCCAAGCCTACCTCTGGACTTTTTGCTACGTTGTCTTTTGCCTTTGCGAGGGCTTTCAGCGAAAAACTGGAAATTGGTTGGGTGAAAGCTTTTTTTACTCGGTCTTTAAAGTACTTTGCTCATGTCACGCTCCATTACTAACATCGAGCTTTCAAACTCCAGCATCCGATTCTGGACTTGCTTTTGGTTGGGGGTGGGGGGGTGCGGGAAGAATGATGACGACATTGTTACGCCGACACCCCGAACAACATCTCCGGAAGAGCCATTTTACTCGGTATTTAAATTGCTTTCGTGACGTCAGCCCTCTTTCTAGTCGCCAAGCCTGCCTCTGGACTTTGCTACGTTGTCTTTTACCTTTGCGAGGGCTTTCAGCGAAAACTCGAAAATGGGTGGTCATAGCTGTTCGAGGCTGCCTGTACGTTCTCAACCCCGCCCCCCGCCACCGCCCCCAAAGCAACGCATGCAAAAGGGGTAATTGGTAACAAGGGCGCCTACTAGTACTACTAGTACTACTAGTACTACTAAAACTACTACTACTACTACTACTACTACTACTACTACTACTACTACTACTACTACTACTACACCCGCCCCCCCCCTACCCACTACCTCGTGTTACATACGCTTGTAACACACATCCGCTTTACTCGGTTTTTACAGCACTGTCGGCATGTAGCAACATCTTATGAAGCCTCAAAAATCACCTCCGAGTTTTGAAACTCCGGGATCGTTTTCTGAACTGTTCTTTTTGGGGTGGGTGGGAGGGTGCGGGAGGAATGATGACGACATTGTTACGCCGACACCCGAAAATGGGTGGTCATAACTGTTCGAGGCTGCCTGTACGTTCTCAGCCCCCCCCCCCCCGCCACCCCCCCCCAAAGCAACGCATGCAAAAGGGGTAGTTGGTAGGGGGGGCCGCCAACTACTACTAGTACTACTAGTACTACTAGTACTACTAGTACTACTAGTACTACTAGTACTACTAGTACTACTAGTACTACTAGTACTACTAGTACTACTAGTACTACTAGTACTACACTAGTACTACTAGCAGTACCAGAAGTACTAGCACTCGTGCGGACGCAATGACTTCCGCAAAACACTATGACTCTCACTGTCTTAAGTACTGCCCTAGTATTGTTGCCAGTCGTTCCCATGCGCATTGTGTCAGAAAGTGTGTCTCCACAGGAGATTTCAATTATTGCTGGACTTCTCTGGCGAGTTGCCAAAAGTCTCTCGAAGCAGTCAACCAACAGAAATGATGATCTGCCCTACAGAACTTCGTCCTTGCGAGACCGAGTGGTTGCATCGAAAAGCATTGCCAACACCACAGGCCGAAGGGAGCTTTGCAGATCATTCATTGCCGAGTTACTGTGTCTGCCTTTGCACGTGTTGAAATGACAGGCTCCAGTTCGCTTTCGTGAGTTCTGGTAGACTCTGACCAGGTACCACGCAATTCAAGAAGTTGATTGACCCGGAAGTAGCTATGTTGGATCCGTTGGATCACCGGTTGCGCAGTGTGCTCACAGTTTCCTCTCAGTCTCTTTCCTACAGGATCCAGCCCATCACAGAAAAGACGCCAACAATTCGTCGTTCCAGCTCACGCAGAACATACAGCACATCCCGTTTGGTTGGCCGATCACGGCTTATCAATCGCTGCAGCCAGTTCATGCCACCCATACTGCACCGGACCGATAAAGATAAAGGAAAAATCACGTTTCAGCAACTCCACGTCTACGTGTGCAAGACAGTTGTGCAGTGATATGATATGTGCCTTCCTGCTTTGAGTCGTAAGAGTCTGTCTGATTGCACAAGCATTGCTTGAGACTGCATGTATTGGGATCTGAAACATGTGGCCGTCTCGATTATGTCTTGCGGGGCTGAGCCCATTTGGGACCATGTGCGTGTGTAGGGATATTCTGGCAGTGATTTCAGCAATGATATGAGCAAGGGATCAGGCTTCCAGCGACTGACCTGATCCAACGAAGCAAGGTCATTGAAGGGAAGTGACTGGAGACGCGCAGTCGTGCACCTGCTTCCAATCTGGCCAGAGGCAAAGCCAGAAACCTCTACTAGGAGCGAGCATCTGCTTGTGACGTCGTGCATTTTGTTTTCGCTGTGCATTGGTGACGCTGCGACACAGTTCGTTTCTCTTGGCAATAGGCACATCAGGCTGATCAACAGCTCTGACTTCAGACCTGGAGACACATGTGTGTCAGGAGTAAGTGTGTGTTTGTGCGTGTCTGTGCGCGCGTGTGTCTCTATCTGCGCCTGTGTTTGCGAATGTGCGCTTGCTCTTGTGCTTCTTCTTGCGCGTTCACTGATGCTTGTGCTTGAGCGTGTGCTTGTTCTCGTGCATGCATGCGTGTGCCTGTGCGAGCAGAGTTGAGCTGAAGCAAGCATGGCACAAGAAAGAGTCCGATACTTGCAACGAGCTCTCGAAACTGATGTCGGAGAGGTCCCTGGAACCACTGGCCACTTCGATGTGTGATACTGAAACGTCAGACATCGTCAGGCCGCGGAACAAACTCAGTCTGTGACACACGTCACTCGGCACGCTGATGCAGTCCTGAAGAGCGGATGGTGCAAGCACTTTGACATGGGACAAGGAGAAGCGCATTCAGTCAGTAGGGAACCACTACTGCAAGAAAGGCGTGGCTGGCAGACTGTCTGCAGACATTCCCACTGACACCGAAAGGCAGCTTGAATAGGCTGAGATGCAGCGGATGCAGCGCTTTCAGCAAGTGCCTTGAGCCAGGTTCATAGTCAACGTGCACATGCTCATTATGCTTTTTCACGCAGAATATCCTATGACTCTTCACTTCTTTGCGGAAACAGCACATGCAGGAATGTGCCCCGTCCCGACCTCAAAACAAACACAGAGAGAAGTGATGCCTTGGGTCTGACGCTCCGATGAAGAGCAGTCCTGGGTGATGGCATTAACACAAGGATACGTGTAGTTTGCAAGCCAAGCCGAGGCACGCAGCTCCCCCTCTGGAGCCAGTCCGTCAGTCCTGTGCGGAAACTTTTGCAGCAAAGTTTCGCGAGTTTCTGAAACTTTCAAAAACTGCTGGGAGCCATGGCAGAGCTCCGAAGCGACCCGCGGCGTTTCCCACGGGGAAGAACGCCGGCGGCCCCAAAGTTGCCTGGGCGCGGCGCCGTCAGAGAGAGAGAGAGAGAGATGGCCAGGCCCAGGCCCAGCACGGACCTGCTTTTGTTTACTTCTAAGTACTTTTGGCCCTGTAGAGGCTCCTCCTGTCCCTGCTGTGCCGCCTCGCTTGAAGTCTTTGCAGTTGCAGGTTTTCACAGCCTTCACGACTTTCTAAGGGCCCGCTCAAGCAAGGTTCGGAGGAGGCCGAGTGTTCGTGGCATCTGCCGTCTGTTCTAAACTGCGTGCATCACTGCTATCTCTGAAGTGTGCGGCAACACACATAAGGCCGTTTTGACATTCCAACTTCCCCCCTAACCCTCGCCCACTCACCCCAACCCCTTGAAGCCCAATACGCTGCTTTGTCGGGCCAGCCCGAAGCTGACGTCTTCGTTGACTTCAATGCGGGTTTCAAAGCCATTCTGCACTGAGGCTGTGTCTGGCGCAGCGATTTCCTCGACCAATTCTTGTGGGTCGCCTCCTTCCTGCGACAACTCGACATACGAGTAACATGCATCTGCGACACCTAGCTCTCGTGCGTGATACCACCTGCGACATGGATTCCTGATCGGATTTCGGTACGGCAACGCATGCTACAGCTGCTCTCCTCGAGAAGTGAGAGCGCCTCCCCTGCTGAGAGTAGCTTGGCCGCAACTTCTACCGCATCGGGCTGGTTCTTCCAGGCACTGCCTGCATTCTCCAGAAGCGCATGTGCCTGCCGCAAACACTCTCGTCGAGGGGATCGTGACCGAGACGTCAGGCTCCGGCTCACAAGCCGCCGTGCCTCCTGAATAGGCGCTGAAAGCTCGAACACGTTGCCCACGCCTCGTGCAAGCACACCGCGGCAGTCATCCAGACTTGGCTCTGCAGCAAGGAGCAACCGTTCGATCCTCTTGGCCACAGTCTTCCGAAGACTCTTCGTGCTTTCCAGGCGATTTGCTGCGACGCGTGCCAGAAGGCACAACTCCCAACCCTCCGGCTTCGAAGCAGGGGGCTCTCCAGCCTCTTGCTCGAAGGCATGCAGGATGTCAGTCCAGAGATCCTCATCCATGGCCGCCATAGCCACCATGGCCCATGGCGCTCTCGTACCCACAGAACTGCCTTTTGCACACTCATAAACACGCGAGGTTGGCAACAATGACTTCACAGACCCAAGCACTCCCAAGCACTCCTTCGGACTGGCGATGAACAGCTCGAGCTGCCGCTCGTGTTGCAAGACATGAGCTGCCGCTCAGAGCACAACGACCTGCTCTCGGACTGTAGGATGCTTGGTAGGATCCCACCAGCTCTCGTTTTCCAGCTACTCCAATGTTCTCCACCAGGCATGTATGCCAACAGCGCATTTACATTGAAAATATTGGTGAAACTCCGGATCCTACTTTAGGCAGGAGATGAAGTGAAATTCATTCTTGTGCATGCTGCCAGTGACAGCGCGCCACGATCGGGTCTGCACTCTCTGTCAGCAATAGAATTCAAGCCTTCATCGGGACTTCACAAACGGGCTGCGCATCATCGCAAGTCCGTGCTTAAAGATGCTAAAACGCACCAAAAGGTCCGGATGAAGAGCTCAAGTGCACTGGAATGAATGACAGCCAGCGGCTTGCTTTGCAAACCATGGAAACCTGCCTCTGCATGCAAGTAAAGCTATTTTGCTTGTTCCAGGTGGCTGCCACCAATGCATGCAATGATTTTTTGCTTGGGCCTCCCACTGTCAAGTCTTGCTCTGGTTCGTTTTGTGCTGCTCTATGCTGAGTGAACGGGCAGGCCAAAGTGGGAAAGCTCCGTGTTGTGGCCTCGCGTGTGATTTCACAACAGAGGCAAAAGCACTTCCCCCGAAGGCTTGGAAGAGCTCAAGCTCATGAGAAACATCATCAGGATGTACGCTAGTGGGCAGCCAGCCGCGTGGCGACTGCCTCGCAGAGTTCGCTTCACCAGACATGCCCAATCGCGCTTGAGAGAAACATTCTTACAAAAACTGCCAGAAATCTCCTCTAATGCGGCACTCCCTTAGATCCTCACGTAGCCACTGCAAACTTCTTGGCTTCTGCATGCACGTGCATGCACGTGCAGCCGTCTGAGCCTCAGAGTTCGATTTCCGCCTGCCCGAGCTGCAGCCACTTCCACCTTCCCAAGCACGCGAGCAAAACAAGTACCGACATTATATTGACATGCCCCGACTTTTTTTGCCGCATGCGACGGCCGAAAAAGTGTCCAGCCCAAGTCAGTGGGCAGAGTGGGCAGAGTGGGCCTGATGCGAGAGCGAGGCGACTCGAAGGTGTCGAAGTCGTGCCTTGGCAGAGCGCGATCCCGAGAAGTGCAAAAGTGCCTACACGGCTCTTGCGACTGCGAGGCTATGCAGACCGGCATGCCTGTCCATGCTAAGATCACAACCCAGCAACATCCAAGGGTGGAGATTCCGCCAGGCCAGTGTCGATCAGCTTGTACAAGATCTGCCGGGAAAGATATCAACTCAGACTCTGAAACATCGCTCACGCTTAAACCCTCCCTGCTGTAGAAGGTGCCTATGAAGAATGTCCGAGAGCAACACAACTTCTGTCAATGAAGACAGAAGACACTCAACTCAGGACACCTTGAATTCGGAGTGCGCATAGATCTCTGGGGCAACATTAGCTAAATTTCGAGCTGAGGTTCCGGGCAGGTTCCGGAATGGGTTCCAGGTTCGTTCGGAGTAGTTTCAGGGACGGCCGCGCAGGTTCGGGGCAGGTTGCAGAGAGGTACGAGGGCCAGGTTACGGGCAGAGGTTCGGGGCGAGGTTGGATGCGGTTTTAGGGCAGGTCCGGTTTCTTTTCAAGCTCCACACATTTTCGTGAGCTTTGCAAATCGCGCGCACGGCGAGTCTCGAACCTCTAATGTGCGCAAAAGCTCCACAAGGCCTGCTAAATGCATTTGGCCTTCGTTTCAATTCTGGAGCTCAATGCAGTCCCTAAACCCGAAAATTGCATGGAAAATGGTTTAATTTGGTTTCCAGCTCCACAGTGCATTCCGCAAGCCTTGGAAAACGTATTTAGAGCTGTTTCAGCTTTGCGGGTGTTCCAGCCCATATCGAGCTCTTCGAAGCCACCGACCAAGCCTAAATGCATTTTCCAGGCCTGCTAATGCGCATTTGGCCCTGGTTTCAACAGATCCAGATCTCAACGGCATCCCTAAACCCGAAAATGTAGTAAGATTGCTCTAGTTTCGGACTTGTCTGGAAGCCGTGCCTGCCTTGAGCGAGTGTGGGAGTCGAGACCCGAAATTTGCGCCGAAAATGCTTTTAACTTGGTTTCCAAGGCTTAATTAATTAATGGCTCAAATTTTGAAGGGACTTGAACCTGGAGTAATGGGCCGACGGCTGTCTGAGAGAAAAGTAATCAGTTTATTGGCTCAAATGCATTCTTGAATGTGTTCAAGCCCTACAAGTTGAGGAATTGATCCATTGCCGCATGTCTCTCCTATCGTTACGGCCATACTGTCTCGCTTCCACGTCCACTTCCACTTATTTCTACTTCTATCTCTAGTTCTACTTCCAGTTCTACTTCTACTTCCACCACCACTACTACCAGGGGAGAGGACTGAAAGAGGACAACAACAGTACGCGAGGAGGGGAACCAAACAAGGAGAGGAAATAACAAGAATGGGGGGGGGGGGCAGTTGTAATTGTTCTCGGCGAGGGGGGGGACGGTGAGAGCCACAACGGGGGGGAACTTGTCTGTTCTGCCGCGACCCCGCTATCGGCTACATCTAAAATCCGACCCCTGTTTAAGGATGCACCTTGTCCGCCAGGGGTGTCTTCTGCGAAAACTTCGGGCTTGATGGCAGCCTGGATGTCGGGCCAGTTGGTGACACTTGATTGGTGCGGAAGCAGACTGCATCGCAATAGCGATATAATGGCATACAAGAGCCGGACGTCACAGCGCCAGCAAGGGCAGCCGTCGCCTTAGTCTGGTGACAGCACGTACTCCGAAGGCACTATTGTCGCCTGGCTGCAATTCGACCTGAACGAATTCATGCTGAAGGCGATTCATGGTGCAGTATTTTCATGACGCAATGCACAATTAGTGGAAAGGATCGTGGCTTGACTTGCAATGCAAGAGTAAATCTGGTCTGGCACATTAGGCGGCTCACGTGTAAAGGAAACACTTTCGACTTCTGGTGCATCTGAACTTGCTAAAGATGTTGATGCACTCACCATATTGATTTTGACTTCCAGGTCTTGCGGTTCAAGACACTGCCAAGAAGCGCAAGTAGCTCCGTTCCGCATTGCCCAACTGTGCTTTGATTTTGGCTGTCAGAAGCGGTTTCCGGTTTCTGTCCAGAAAGGCGGAAGCTCCTATAGTCGGCGCTAAGCGGCAACCCCTCCACCAACAGCTGCTAAGGCCAGTGTTCTTCTGATGAAGGTATGCCATGCCATGCCCTGTCATCGCAGCCGAGGTCTGTGCCGCTGCCTTGGCAGCTGCTGCAGAGCCAGGACCTTTCGGCACAGCAGCTTCACACTAGACCCGCTTGAGCGTGCACTTGTCAGGACTTCACTCGCAGCTGGCAGTGGGCACAGATGAGCGGAGCGAATCGCATCCAGGCATCCACACGACTTGCTCGACTTCGTCCACTTGCGGGGCGACTTGCAGAGCGGCTGACCGGGCGGCTCGCCTCCAGATTCCCCATCTCACTTAAGTTCTCAAAAGATAGGCTCACCGAGCAGCCTACATGAACAAGATCTTGATCTATCTGACTGCACCTGTCCACTCTCGCGGAACTTCTCGTCGAGTGTTTCTGTAGGTGCCTGACAGGATCACTGTAACTAGCTTCAGTTTTTAGAGCTTGCTGGACCTGGATTAGTGCACGCGGGCCGCGGGCATTGTGCATGGAACACATAAAACTGAAACTGCGTGACATCCCCGACCTTGGTGTCTCGTCTTTCCGAATCAGCTTTCGAGCCGGCACGAGACACCTGTGGCAGAATGGCGGAGTTCCAAAGCAAGGCCACTTGTGCAACTCCGAGTTTGAGACTCGAGACAACTCCACAACAGAAAAGCCCCCGGCCGCAACCCTGACAGTGGCTGCTGAACCAGGACCTGGAAATGCACATGCAAGATCTAGTGGCTGACGATTGCTACGATGCCCACAAGCCATTTTCACAAGGGCCGGAGCAGGTTCAGGGTGCAATGCCCAACAGCAACTAGAATGTTATCAGCATGGGCCGTCTGTTCTGAACCCAGCAGCGCCTGTGACCTTAACACTTGCAACGTAAAATACTGCAACAACCATCAACGACCTGGGCTTACAGTAGCTGAAAGATCTGCAAGGCAGCTTGGTATCCGAACGGCTGCTGGTCCGACTTCTTTGTCCACTCACCGGGCGTCCTGCCTTGTGAGCTCGCAAGGAACTTCAAGTGGTGACATTCTGCTATGCGCACAAAGACCAGCCCACAGGCACACCGATAAACTCATACATGGACAGAGACGCCAAGACAGATCGGCGCATGAGGTTTGCTGTCCCGGCGACAGTCCCAAACGGTGTGCTGTGTGTGGCATTAACCTTTCATCTCCTTCGTGTCTAAGTTATCGACTTTAGATGAGGTAGAATTTAGACACCACTGAGTCTCCCGAAAAGCTATCAATGTTCGCGGGACCCCTGGAAAGCTTAGGCTTTTTGCAAGGGCAGTGGGGGCCTAACGTCTGCAATCTTGTTTTGTCCTCGCATCCTCTCAAACTGGAAGGTCGTAAGTCTGAAAAATTTGACGCCTGCACATTCTCGTGCAGCTTCTCTGCGAGCTTGTCTGCCAGCGCCTGTACATGGCAGTCTTGGATCACACCCCTGCCATTGCGAAAAGATGTGCGCCTGCGATCTGGTACGACCCTGTTGAGGATTTGTAATTTCGACTGCCCCTGAGCTTCATGCCTTGATATCTTTCCTCTCTGACTCCGCTGATGGCTTCTCTTGCTTTGCCGGCGTCGCTGCACCGGTAGAGGCCTCCAGTCAGACTGCGAGCAAGACCCCAATTCGGCAAGTACCAACGCAATCCACAGATTGACTTTGATGCGCAGCACAGCTGATCAACCGACTGTGCTTGGCTAATGCGTGCGGACTAGTACTCGGCCTTATCTGCTTCGTCCTTCGAGGGATCTTCCTCTGCAGCCCTGAGAAGTGAAGCCAAGGTCAACTTTGGGCTCGGACCGCGAGCATATGCAACGTGATTCCGAAACTCTGAGTGATTGGAGGTTTCTGCCTTTGTAAAAGCTTGCCAAGACACTCCACTGCTGCTGTCATCAGCACCTTCCAATGCTCCGATGCTGACACGCAGAAGCGATGGCAAATACGTCGAAAATCGAGGGATAGCTTATGGTCTTCTGGTGATTCGATGTTCTGTGTTTCAATTGCTTCGACTGGATCATTGGATCATAGGGGGGAAAGTCACGAATGGTTCCAAGTGTCCTCACCAGCCAATAGAGCTTCCAATAGTCAGCGGAGGTGAAGGGTTTGAACTTCGAACACAGCCGAAACTTTTCTTGACATTCAATCGAGGGGGCCGCGGGCCAAAGGCCGCGCGCCGCGCAAGACAGCACATGGCCGTATGCTGCGGGCCGCGGCCAGAACCCCAGAAGGAGATGTTGCTTCCCAAACCCCCAACCCTCGAAGGAGACGTTGGTTAAGAAACCGAGAGATGTTGCTTGCCAGTTCCACAATGCTGACAGGAGATGTTTGTGAGAAACCCACTGCCCCGAAGGAACATGTTGCTTGGGAAACCGGATACCCTGAAAAGGACACGCTGGTGTTGGTTGCCAGGGCCGGAACCCTGAAGGGAGATGCCGAACGCCAGAAACCTTTTATCTGGTGATGGTGGAGCAAGCCAAAACCCAAAAAAGATATGCTGATTGAGAAACCGAAACCCGACAAATTGAGTTGGTTGAGAAACCCAAAACCCTGAAAGGAGATGTTGGTTGCCGAACCCGACGTACCCTAGATGCAGCTAAACCCACAACCCTTGTCACATCCAAAACCCTTAAACGGGGATGATGGCCGACGAGCCCAAAATACTAAAATCAGATGATGCTTGAGAAACCCCAAATCCCAAAAGAAAGCGTTTTTTGCAGAACACTAAATCCTGCCCAAAAGGAGATGTTGGCTAAGAAACCCACTACCCAGAAAGGATGTGCTGGTTGAGAAACCTCAAAGGTTAAACGAGAAATGTCGATTGCCCTGTAACAGCGATATTGATTGCCGCACCCAAACTCCTAAAAGGAGATGTGGCGTGCAAATGCCACAAACCTAAAGAAGAGAAGCTAGGTGCAGAGTCCAGAACCGAACAAAAATACATCGCTTGCCGAACCTCAAAAAGTAAATGCCCGAAAACGAAAAGTTGGTTGCCGAACGCCGAACCCACACCTTACAGGAGATTTTGGTTGAGAAACCCAAAAAACCAAAACCTTGATGCTGCTTGCAATAAAGGCGATTTAGCTTGCCAAACCCCAAGTTTTGAAACATGATGATGGCTGAGAAACCCAAAACCTTAACGAATTATGTCGGTTGGGACATTCGAAACCCTAGAACGGAGACTTTGGCCTTTGCTGCCAAACCCGAAACCCTGACTTCAGAAACTTTAAACCCTGTCGGGATGTTGATTCCCGAACCCAAAGTACCCTAAATGGAGATGCTGGTTGAAACGCCCAAAGAGCAAAAGTGGACTCAATCCACAACCCTTGCCATATCCAACACCCTAAAATGCCCTAAAACAAGATGATGGTTGCCGAACCCAAAATCCGAAAAGCAGATGCTGCCTGAGACACCCAAAACCCTGATTAAACAGGAGGTGTCGGGTGCCGAGCCGCCGAACTCAAGGCACGAAACTAATAAATTCGGCCAAAAAACGCACAAAACGCACAAAAAAGGAGACGGTGCTTGCAAAACCCACACCCTATAGATCCATTTAAGGAACCTTATAGATCCCTCTAAGGAACCCTAGAGATACAACCTACCCGGAGATCTTGCTCGCCAAACCCAAAAAGACCCCAAAAAGAGATCTTGGCGACGAAGCAGAAAACCAAAAAGACTTCAAGTGGGAGTTTCCGAAATTAGGGATACCTTATTTGGGGTCCTTAAAATAAGGATCCTACTATTTAGGGTACTATATTAGGGTCCCCTATTTTCGGAAACTCCCATGGCGGTTAACAACATATTAATAAAGATGCTAAACAGGAGATGCTGCCTGCTACTGCCAGAACCCTAACAGCGATGTTGGTTGCCGCACTCAGACTCCTAAAGGGACTTGTTGCTTGCAAATCCGGACAGCTCAAAAAAGAAATGCTGGTAAAAGGAGATGCCGGTGGCAATTCAAAAACCCGAGAAGGAAACTCTGCTCACCGAACCCTGGACCCCAAAAACGGTTGGTTGCCGAACCCAAAACCTTACAGGAGATGTTGGTTTGGAAACCCAAAACCCTAAATGGTGATGTGGCTTGCAAACAGCAGGAACCCTTAAAGGCGATCTTGCTTGCCAAACCCGAAGCCGTGACAAGGCGTAGGCTGAGAACCCCAACACCGTAAAGGAGTGCTGGATCGGAAAACCGAAAGCTTAAACAAAGACTTCGTTGGTTGCCAAACCCGAAAACCTCAGAGGAGATGTGGGCTGTTGTCGGAAGGGATATAGGCTGAGAAACCCAAAACCCCAAAAGAATATGTTAGTTCGGACACCCGACCCTTCACCCAAAAAGGATATGTTGGTTGCAATCCCCGAAAACCCAAAAACAGATGTTGGCCGCCGAACCCAAACCCCTACAAGAAAAAATGACGGAGAAGTCGACAACCATAACAGGAGATGCTGGTGGAGAAACCCAAAACCTGAAAGGGAGATGTTGGCTGCCGATCCCAACAACTTTCATATACTTTCATCAAGTGATATATTGGTTGGGCAAGCCAGGACCCTAAGAGGATCAGTTGACTGAAAAAGCCGAAACCCTAAAAGTAGATGCTGGTTGAGAAGCCCGAAGCCCTAGAAGAACAGGTTGGTTGAAAAACCCTACTGCAAGTAGCTGCATGTTGCCGAACCCAAAATACCCTGAGTGGAGATGCTGGTCTGAAAACCCGAATACGTAAAATCTGACTTAACCCACAACCCTGGCAATTTTCAAACCCCAAGAAAAGATGTCGGCTGCCGAGCCCAACACCCTGAAAAGTTCACTGAAAAGAGACGCTGCTTGAGAAACCTTGAACCTTAAAAAAAGATGTCGCCTACGGAACCCACAACCTTAGAAGGAACTGTTGCAGGACAGAACCCCGAACGCTAAAAAGAGATATTGGATGCTGAACCCATAGCCCAAAACTCCACAAACAGATGTTGCTAGTCAATACCTAGAACCCTAAAGGGATGTTGCTGGGCTGGACGAACCCCAAACCGATCCTGGAGATGCGGATATTGGCGGAGAAACCCGAAACCCTAAAAGGATTTGTTGGCGGAGAAACCCTAGACTCCAAAAGGGACATGTTACCTGCCATTTGCAAAACGCTATAAGATGCTGGATTTTGGTTGCGGCATCCATATCCCTAAGCGGAGATATTGCTTACAAACCCTAAAACCCACAAAGCTTTCAATACCCAACAGGGAGATTTTGCTTGCCGAACCTTGAACCCTAAAACGAGAAGGTGATTGCCGAACGCTAAAACCCTGGCCCTACAACGAAGATACGGCTTCTGTCGGCCGCCGTGTGTTTTGCGGCATTTCCAGGCCATGTGCTTGAACGTCCGGGCAAACACATTCACGATGAGAAAGCTGTGTTCAAACGTGCCAGAATCATCGACAACGTGCGTGGCTTTTAGAAGATCTTATTGTTTTCGAACACCTTTACGGGTATTGATAAGAGCCGGTTGTGCGAAAAGCTTTGTGTGATATGAGTTTTGCGTTTTGACAGCAGCGTCAGACGATGCAACGCAGCAACAGCACCAGGACCGGCACCTCGACAAGCAACAGCAGCTGGGCTATCATCAACAACACCACCATAAACATCATCTGGAAATCATAGCTGTAATACTGTATGCGAGGCCGAGCAACAGCTGCTGCACAAACCTTCTCCAAAGACATGAGTAAACATGTTCCAAAAGATCAGCACGTCCATCTTCGACTTCCTGGAAGACATTTCCTTCCGAATGAAACGCTTCAGCACATCCCCACGCGTTCTGTTGCAGAAGAGGAGCGAGAAGTCAGGCGAGAGACGACCAGCCCAGTGTATTGCGAAATAGAAAGACAAGAAGCATGCAAGTGATCCTCCACGTCAGTCAGAGAAATCTATGAAAATCAGGCCATGCAAAACCCAGAACCCGTAAAGGAGATGTTGTTAGCCAGGCCCAAACCTTAAAACGAGATGTTGCTTGAGAAATCCAACACCCCAAAGGAATATGTTGGCTGGCAAACCCGAAACCTTGAAAAGAGATCTGGGTTGTTGCCACACCGAAAGCCCCGAATGGAGATATTGGTTCGGAAACCAAAAACCCTACAAAGGAATGCTGCTTGCAAAGCCCAGGCCCAGAACCCTAACAAGGAGGCATTGGTTGCAATTTCCAAAACCCGACAGTTAGGTGTGTGCTGCCGACCTAAACCCCTACAAAAAACTGGCGGAGAAACCGCTAGCCCTAACAGGAGATGTTGGTGGAGAAACCAGAAACCTTGCAAGAACAATGTGGTACCGGAAGGCGTGCCATATTAAGTATAGATGCTGCCTACGGAGCCCCAACGTCTGGAAGAAGCTACGCCTGTTGCATTACCACACCCTTAACCGTAAAAGGAGATGTTGGGCGCTGAACCCAAAACCCTACAACGAGCATCGAAAGCATTAGAAAAGCAGATGTTGCTTGCAAAACCCAGAACCCTAAAAGAGACGTTGCTGGCAGAACCCCAAACCGATCCTGGATATGTAGATAGTGGTGGATATTGGTGGAGAAACCCGAATCCCTAAAAGGATTTGTTGGTGGAGAAACCCTAGACTCCAAAAGGGACATGTTGCCTGCCATTTGCAATAAGCTGTAAGATGCTAGATTTTGGTTGCGGCACCCAAATCCCTAAGCGGAGATATTGCTTACAAACCCCGGGAGATTTTGCTTGTCGAACCTTAAACCTGAAACGAAACGGTGGTTGCCGAATGCTAAAACCCTAAAACGAGGTTATTCTGCCGGCCGCCGTGTGTTTTGCGGCATTTCCAGGCAATGTGCTTGAACGTGTGGGCAAACACATTCACGATGAGAAAGCTGTGTTCAAACGTGCCAGAATCATCGACAACGTGCGTGCTTCTTAGAGGATCTCATTGTTTTCGAACACCTTTACGGGTATTGTTAAGAGCCCGTTGCGCGAAAAGCTTTGTTTGATATGAGTTTTGCGTTTTGACAGCAGCGTCAGACGAAGCAACTGCAGCAACAGCACCAGGACCGGCACCACGACAAGCAACAGCAGCTGGGCTATCATCAACAACACCACCATAAACATCATCTGGAAATCATAGCTGTAATACTGTATGCGAGGCCGAGCAACAGCTGCTGCACAAACCTTCTCCAAAGACATGAGTAAACATGTTCCAAAAGATCAGCACGTCCATCTTCGACTTCCTGGAAGACATTTCCTTCCGAATGGAACGCTTCAGCACATCCCCACACGTTCTGTTGCAGAAGAGGAGCGAGAAGTCAGGCGAGAGACGACCAGCCCAGTGTATTGCGAAATAGAAAGGCAAGAAGCATGCAAGTGATCCTCCACGTCAGTCAGAGAAATCTATAAAAATCAGGCCATGCAAAACCCAGAACCCGTAAAGGAGATGTTGTTAGCCAGGCCCAAACCTTAAAACGAGATGTTGCTTGAGAAATCCAACACCCCAAAGGAATATGTTGGCTGGCAAACCCGAAACCTTGAAAAGAGATCTGGGTTGTTGTCACACCGAAAGCCCCGAATGGAGATATTGGTTCGGAAACCAAAAACCCTACAAAGGAATGCTGCTTGCAAAGCCCAGGCCCAGAACCCTAACAAGGAGACATTGGTTGCAATTTCCAAAACCCGACAGTTAGGTGTGTGCTGCCGACCTAAACCCCTACAAACAACTGGCGGAGAAACCGCTAGCCCTAACAGGAGATGTTGGCGGAGAAACCCACAATCCAAAGGGAAATGTTTGCTGCCGAACCCAAAAATGTTCATCTGGTGATGTTGGCTGAGCAAGCCAACACCCTAAAAGGAGATGCTGCTTGACAAACTCCTAAAATGACAAGAAGATGAGTACTAGTGCTTGTATGTACTAGTACTAGTACCAGTACTAGTCACTAGTGCTAGCACTGGTCGTAGTAGCGGTAGCAGTTGTACTAGTCGCAGTGGCAGTAGTACTAGTCGTGGTCGTAAGTACCGCAGAGGAGTGACCGGCGAGGGTTCAATAATTCGATTGTGATCCCTGTCCACTCCCCCTGCTGCCCAGCCCTGCGCAAGCGTTCAGATCTGGAAGGACATCATCTGCAGATTCTGTGGGCCCTGATCGGCAACGATCGAAAAGTATGTGGCCGCTTCTTCTTGAGACGCCGTGTCCCAACAAGTGACCCATTGAACGCACAAGTCGGCTCCTCAGTTGTTTTTTGCAGGGTCACTTGTTTTGGGGGGGCTCACACTGTCTCAACAACAAGTTACATCGACCACGATATTGAGTATTCGCCGGTTGGCTGGCGTCTCAGGGCTGAGTGAAGGCACAGACTCTAAGGTAGTCTGGATGGGCAAGGCCCGTGGAGGGCAGGTTCCTGCTATGCTTCGCGTGCTCACTCATGGAGATTGAAACCTGGGATTGGCTATGGCAATATGCACCCCAGAACTTCACTCTCGATTCCTGCGTAACTTCGTCGGAAGTTACGTAACTGCGACAGGGCCTCTGCAGGGCTGCGCTTCATGACAATCACATGGCGTCGCGAGACCTCACACAGCGACGCAAAGGCCATTCGGAAATTCCACGACTTTGTCCAATTTCTCTGACGGTTTCCTTGAGAACCGCGATGGCGATGCTCTAGGGCCGGAGCCTTCCTCGCCCGTGCCCGGGGCATCGATTGGCTTCTCAAGGCCGGTGAAGCCTTTCCGGCGTTTTGGGCTTTGCGACTTGGCTTTGCTTGGGCGAAACTTGGCACCTCAATGTTTGAAGCTTCTTCTCCCCCGTCCTCTCCGGCATCGTATCTGTGCCTGCCCAGCCACGAGGACACAGGCAGGGAGAGACAGAGAGAGACAGACAGCGAGAGAGAAAGAGAGAAAGAGAGAAAAGGAGGAACAGAATAAAAGAGAAAGAGAATTCGCAAGCCCTGAGGGCAGCACTCGCGACGTCGTATGGAGCGACTGCAGCCTGTCTGCGCCACATGTTCGGGAGAGGTTCGCATTCTGTACGACTGAGACAGCCCTCAGGCGACGGCATAGAATCGCTCTGGACCGCGGCCGACACGTCAGCGTCTTCCCATGGCTTGGCGGAGGCCCGAAGAGCAAAGACGCCTCGCACAGAGCAGCGGATCGCCGGAGGTCCGCTCCGCTCTGCAACGCTCGGCAACGCTCTGCTCGGTTCCGGGCCAAGACTTGGGAAGCCGTGAGTTTCTCCACGGCCGGCTTTCGACCGCGTGGCCACGGCCTCAGCTCTGGCTCTGCCTCTGCCTCCGCCGCCTCGTCTTTTCGAGCTCCAAAGCTTCGCCCTGGGCCGCAGGCTTCATGGCCTCTTGGCTGTCGACAATGACGGCCTTGGGGATTTGCGAAGCGACCGACTTGCCGGATTTCTCTGAAGGCTGGCTGGGCTAAAGCTGCACTAACTGGCGTCCCGGCATAATGTCTCACCGCTTTACGCGTGGGATACAGCCGGATGAAGTTCCGATTCCGGGTGCACTCAAGCAAGGCATTTGCCTCGGTGGAATTAATCGAAAAACAAGCCTCTCACGTGCCAACAGCAAGTCGGAACTCGAATCATGAAAATGCAGCTGATCGAACTCGTCATGAATCCGCAGTCAAGATGATTCGATGATCATTGGGGCTCCTGCAGTGCTCCGCAGTTCCTCGACGTCCAACCTACAGTTGCAGGGACCGCTCCGATGGAGAAGGATGATGGAGTGCGCCCCAACAGCCCTGGTGAAAAACGAAATGGACTTTGAAAAAGCAAAAAAAACACTGAAGCTAGCAGTTCAAGCAGAAAACAAACTGAAGACCCGGCACAGGCCACATGACTCGCATTTTCCTTCACTCCCAGGCCCGCCCCGCAGCTGGAGCGTGGGCCGGCTGGACGGCGGGCATCCCTATCACTGTCCTTCACAAAAATTGGAAACATGCGCAAAACAAGCTGCACAAAAGGTGAAAAAGGAATGGAAAATGTGAACAAAGAATGTTTAAACGCACCGATGAAGGCCACGCGCAGGCCAGGTGACCCAGGATTTCCCACACCCGTGTACTTTCCTTAATATTTACCTTTGTTTGACATTCTTTGTTTACATTATTTTGCTTTTGTTTACCCAGTTTCCGCCGCGTTTTCACATTTTTCAGCCTGCTGTGTAAAGGAACATGATAGGGAAGGCAGGCCGCAAGCACACCCCCCCACCCCGGCAAAGCGGCGGGGCGGGGAGTGCAGGAAAATCCGAGTTCCACTTTAGACTTTTCCTTGCCTGTTCGTTACCTTTGTGGTTTCACCTGAACTTCGCTATCTTTTCTTTACCTTTAGCTACTTTACTACAGCTTCTTCACCCACATGTTACTTTTTTCCCTTATCACATTGTATAAGCGAAATCAACCTTTGCCTCCAGCCTCCATGAGTCGGACCTTCTAAATTCTAAACTTAGAGCCGACTAACACGGCAAGGCATGCAGGTTCGACAGCGCAAGTCACTTGAGTGGGGCGGGGCGACCAGTGGACACAGCAACTCAGCTGAGCCCCAGAACGTGCCCAAAGGCACAGACGGCAAGTCCTCACAGTCCTCCCAGGCCACAACAACGCAGGCTGTGATCTTGCTGACGCAGCACACACCTGCACCATGCCTGAATCTCATGCCAGTGTTATGCAGCGAACCTGCTCGTCTTCTACTTCACATTCTTGATGCCGAAGGACAGATCGCCCTGAGCTTGCAAAAACGCAGACTCTCGGACCGACCCAGAACTCGGGAGGCAGAAACGGAAGCTGTCCGGATGTTGCGGCAAAGTCTTGCTGCGTCTTGTCCGGCCCTAAAAACAATGCTAAAATAACAACCTCAAGCCAATGGGCCAACTCACAAGGCCTGACGAGAAGTGGGAAAAGAGCCGTCGCCACCCCAACAACAGGATACCTGCGAACGCCACCCCAAAAACAGGATACCAGCGAACAGCGTGAAAAATGTTGATTCTGCTTTCAAGTTGATGGAATGATAGACAGAGCCATCTATATAGAACTCCGTCAAGCTTTGACCACCCTTCATCAGAATCTGTTCGTCGGAGTGCTTAGCTGATCATGTCCATAAAGCGTCACGTTGCACCACTACTGGTACTTCAGTGTTCATGAGCACCTCAGCATATGTTGCAAGCTATGTTCGAGTTCCTACAGCTTCCTTCATGCTGGATGTGCCTGCAGTCATGTAATCGCGTGTGGCACTTGCAATGCGGAACCAGGCATTGTGGCCGAACTTTCTTGTCTCATCAAACAGGATCGATTTGCACATTGCGGTTCGTCAGGTGTGTCATTGGATCGACTGCTTTGAACAACTCAGCTGATAACCAGACACGCGATGACGCCTCCTGCGTTCGGGGGGTCCTGTGCAGATCTTCGCAGTGATTCGGGCTTCTCTGGGATCTTTTCAACATATTTTCGACGTGGTTGGGCTTCTCGCGCTCCGCCTGCCTGGTGGCTTACCAGGCACTTTCACTACCTCAGCGGGCCACACACAGCGCAGGAAGAACTGCGACAGCATCCCCACGCGAACCTTGGACTTTGCTCTTGTCGCTTCCGCTAGTCGCTGCTTGGTCACCTTGTTGATGCCCACCTTCGAGGCATTGCAAACGAGCCTAGCATGTGCGTCGATGCAGAGGTTCCGATACCTCCCATTGCGCCAAACTCCGGTCAGTAGGCCGCTCACGAGATTGAAGGAGTCTGACAGCAAGGAGCTCTTGATCTGCCAGTCCAGCGGAGAATCCGCCTGTTTCACAGCAGTGAAGGCTTCCGGGTGCCTTCATACGAGAAACTGCCTGAACGTTCCGTGAACTAAGAACCATCGATGCATCTCCACTGCAGGTTCGCAACTCCTGAGATCTCCTGAGGAGGCTCCTGCACCGTGTGTCCTCTGGGGTCTGTGGACCACCCAAACATCTCCTTTCAGGCCTCGATTTTGCTGCCAACATATCTCGTTCTGCGGTTCTAAAACTTCTCTCCCAATCCCGTCCAGAATTTAGGGATTTGAGCTTAGACCCTCGAGTTCAAGGCTGCGGAGTTCCAGTCAACACTTCCTTTTTGGATTCAGGTCCACACCGGTCCTTTCAGGGTTTCGGGTGTAAGGTTTTGCAGTCTTGGATCCATGATGTGTCCACACGACAATTTCCAGGCTGCCCTGCTTCTGCATTCCAAAGGCGATACTACTTGGCACTTCACTGCCATGTCCTCGGGCCTGCATGCTGGGACTGAGGTTGACCTCCAAAAGCCACGGCCTGAGCATCCGAACATGCTGACTCCAACCTTCAATACTTGTATGTAACAGCACCACCAGCATGCAGAATCTGTTGAGCCACTAACTTCAAGTCCTGATCGACTAACACGTCGAAGCCATACAACCTCAGCACGTCTAAGCTCGCAGGAAACCCAACAACAGTCCTTCCAAAAGTTTCACTGGGCTGCATGCTCAAAGCAATTGTGGCCTGAGCAATGAAGCCCGCAGAAGCAGCAGCAAGAACGTTCGGGCAGCTTGGCCACAGACTGTAATTTGCGGTGGCTTTTGTTCGGGCCCCGATCACGGGCTCCACCTCGGAAATGTTGGAAAGCCACCAACGACAGACCGGCGCAAACGTCCGCGACCAGCTTCTGTCTTGTAAAATGCTGTCAAACTTTCAATGTTTAGCCTCCGTGCGTACAAGGAACCAGGTAAAAAACCTGCAACGTTAGCCAACCTGATGCATAAAATGACTATGATTACATGTTCACGGTGCCGGGCTTCGTCAGTCCTTTGCACGCGTGGCCTGGCGTCGCCCCGCACTTGCACCATGCGCCATCATGCCCACCTGCACGTGCCCCTACATCATGCCAAAACGGCGGAGGAGCTCGTTTGCGCAGAGCGGCGATCGCACGCTCAACCCCGCTGCGCCATGCGGCACTTGATGCCGTCTCACACCCCGAGTATTGCGCAGCGCCGCTTCGTCTCACTGCCGCATGTCATATACCCAACATCCGAGCCAAGCTCTAAGGATTCGGAAGCATGCCTCAAATATCACGACTATCTGAACTTAGATAAACGCGATCTTGGTTAGGAGATTTTGTTGTGAGACTTGGGGACACTCAGGGTCATATGATGCAGCCGGAGCGGGCGGCACGAGTTGCTGCATGTCCGGGCATGGCTTTCATCCCGTGTTTCCATGAGGTTGATTAAAGGATGAAGGGACACTCTCGCAGAACTGAGCCCCCCGGCAGACAGAAGAGACTTCACAATGGCATCCTTTGCCACAAGATCACAAATATGGATTGTGCCGTCACTTCGCGCATCTGGGCTGCAATTGAGTAGACTGCCATGATGCGGGTCCACATAAGCTCAGCATCTACCCCAATACACCTGCAGAAACAAGAACTTGTCGCTGGACAACAGTCTCGCAACAGAACCGTCGGCTGCCTCAGGTGCTTGTTCAACGCCGATATGCTCCACTTGTGACCGACATTGTCAGCCTGTAGACAGGGGTGCAATCCTGACAGTTGACCGAAGCGCCAGCATCAGAATGACATGTTTCGCTGAGGGAGCCAAGGCTACGTGACGTGCAGAGGTTCGCGACAGCGAGCCTGAACCTCGGAGTTCTCCACAAAGCTTGACGATCCCTCGCAGAAACGATGGTATGACAATGTATCCAACTTGCAGAAGAAACCCATCACATACTTCTTTATCGGCCACGTGCAGACCTTGTTGATCGAATAGTTGGTCAAGTGACGGTAGGCATCCTGTGACGGTCGGGCTCTGGCTTGCTGTCGTGTATGCGCATCATGGTCTGAGCTTCAGGCTGTTAAATGCTTCGGGTCTTTGCTATAAGGCTTGGAAGCAAAGCGCACCAGACCTTCCAAAACTAATGCTTTCGTGAGGCCAAGAGGCAGCGCAACAAAGTTCTTTAGCCAGCCGTGTCTGCAGCGAACCTTCTCTGTAGATGTAAGCTCGCAAGGGCTCGTAGCTCGTGACCTGTGCACCCATTGCCGGGGCGATGCCAAAGGGCCCTTTCAAAAGATCTGCCTGCTAAATTGCTCAAAGCTTCAATCCTCTAACTGTCTCAAACAACTCAGGAGTGGGCCAGCACGTACCTCATCTTAGTTAGCTGGCCATAGTGACTTTCAAGCGGCATAGAGAGCTTGGAATATCACGTCGCAGGGACAGGCCACTAAGAAACTGTGCTTTCTGCTTCCTCTACATTGCAACGACTAGTAGAAAGCCCACGTTGCCATGGTTTTCCGAGAAATTGAATTTCTCCGCTCTGAATCTCGGTCTCTCGTCATTCGCCTTGAGGGCCTCTCGCGCCCAAAGCAAAAGACCTGTCAACTTGTAACTGCTTCGAAAAAGAAGGTCAGTTGAAACAATCTGAAACTGCGTCAGAGTCATAGTGAAGACTGCATGACCCACAACATCTGGGGCGCATGGCAGTCCACAATTCAAACAAGCTTTGAGGAAGGCAAGCAGGTTGGCGCTTGCTATATTTGTGTGGCCACTGGGTACCTTCTGCTGGCCCGCCTCAGTTCTTAAAGAGACTGCCGTTGTGACAGATAGTTCCCAAATTCAAAATTGCACCAAGCCCTAGACTTGGGCAGATTGAATGCAGCTGCAAGGCAGCTGAATAAACACGGTCCTTGAGCCATGAGGCCTGGACATTGAAAGCCCGAGCCAAATCGTCGCAAGATTTTAGACACTTGCGCAGCCTGTTTCTACCAATGTAAAGCTTCGATGCAGTGCAAGGGTACGGAGACTTGCCTAGTCATGGCACTTGAAACACTTGCGAAGCATACAGGCAAAGTCTGCAAGTTTGCTGGCTGACTTCAGGTCCAAGACAGGAAGATGCATCACGTCCTGATGCGAATCGCCCAAGTCATACCGTCACCCGTTTCAGCCACGAAGCCACACCCTTTAAGTTCCAGATAAACCCTAAATTCTCAGCCCCTACAAGCCCAAGCCGAAATCACCTTTATTCTTCTAGCCTACACCTCATTGATCATCGGAGAACTTCTCCTGAAAGAACAGCTCTCAAGGTTGGCCGGCTGCAGCTGTGCAGTTACAGAGACGACATACTTAGAAAGTACTAAGTACACTTGCCACATATGACCTCGAAGGGGCTGACTACCCGCAATTGCACTTTCAGGACCTGCTTCACCCAAACCAACTCGCTTGGAAAAACCCTGCCACTTCGTGCTGATTGCACACCCTATCGACCGGTGAGGAAGAGGCGCGAATGGTATCAGTGGCGTCAGGACTCGGCTTTGATCAGACGATCTCCACGCTGCCTCTCGATGCAGGACATAAATCAATGTCCTGTCGTCCTAGCAAGCCATGCCCAACTGCACACACGTCAGCCTCGGCACCACGCCAACCTCAAGCAGACTCGGTTTCAAGCTTCCGGATGTGTTCAAGATTTGGAATAGATGTACCATGCCATATCAAAACACACGGTAAATGCAATCAATGTCTTTCGGCGCGATGCGGACTAGCACGGGTAACTGTAGTCAGATCAAGAAAGAATACATGAGCCGAGAGTCTTGCCGACTCAGATGATGAATGCCGGATGCCGTCGCTGACTGTCGGGGTGCTGGCACAATCTGCACCGAAGCAAGCCCGAGTGGCGTTGCTGGACAGAAAATCTTCAAGAGCTACCCACCATCGCTTCATTGCAAAGTTTGGCACCTGAACTCCTGCATACCTCCTTGCCCAAGCAGGGAATAGGCGGCACGCCTAGAAGACACAGCCGATTTCTGCAAGATCTTCTTCCACATATCGACATCTTTTGCCCGGCTGTCCCTTTGAACCTGCAGGATGGCATGGATTTACGAGTCACGGAATTCCACGCACTTACTCACCGAACGACCGCGCACGTAGCTTCATTCAGAGATGCAAAAACGGGATGCCTGAAGATTACCACCACTGTTCTGATGCCCCTTGCCATGCAGCCATGCCCTGCCTGCACACATATGGGCCAGGAAGATGTCCCAGACGGAATACACCGTGATGCCACACACTTGTGCCGGTCTTGTTGGTGGCTTTGCATCTGCCATATCCACCTGCAGCACAGCGATGCACAGAAATCAGAAACTCTGGTCCCCTGCATGATAGCAGTAGGCAGAAGAGAGCAGCCCAAACTCGGGCAACCGAAATGCCCGAATCGCAATGCTAAAACCGATGAAGAAGATGCTGATAAACATGTGGTGCTGGTGGTATAAGTACTGGTGCTGGCGTTGGCGCGGCTTTTTTCGGATGCACAGGTACCGGTGCAATTGCTGGTGAAGTTGCTAAACCTACAACCCTCTTGGCGAGGCAAGTTGAGCCCAGTAACTCAAACAATGACACAATTCAAACAGGCAGATAATGGCAGGTGCAATGTACAATGAAACTCCTCGGAAAATAGTTCCCGTGGTTGCTTTGTGTTCGGCGATGGTGTATATACTGAAGATGGCAGAGCTGATCATGACCAGGATCATGCTTTATGCTTGTGATGCTGATGATGATGGTGATCATGATCATGATGACGACAATGATGATGATGGTCAATGATGGTGACACTCATTCTGTAGCTACCGGCTATACTGAAGAAACTGGCGATCCCGATGATGATAATGCTGATGATGGTGCCGATACGTATGGTACGACGACGCCAATAATGATGATGATGATGATGATGATGACGAAGATTGCAGGCCGTAAATACTGCAGGGAGCACAGAAGGGGCAGGCATATTCGCCACGTTTAGCCTCGAATGCCAAGCTGCTTTCACAGAGGTGCATCATGTTTTCTGCTTAGAACTGATTCACCTTGTTCTCTGTTGCTGATTGCCGTGATGCTTTCCGATCTGCAAAGTTCGATCACCACACGTTCATTCCACGTACAAGCCGCGTGTATCGTCTTCCAACCCGTCTCGTCTTCCAACCCATCATGCAATCAGGCTGAGGGGAGGACACAACATTACTTCTGGGTGCATCTTAGCACAACACTTTTGGCCTTGCCATTCACCCCTCTTCAAACCGGGGTTCACTGCAACATCATCGATATCATCACACGACATTTTAAAAAAAAACAAGAGCAACGTCAAGGCACCATCAGCGACAATGTTATAGAATCTCGGCATCACCAGAAGCACTATCGGCCACAACCTCAATATTGCCAGAAGAACGTCGTCGTCGTCGTCGACGGCGTCGTCGCCGCATTTATTGAACCCGTCATGACCAACATCATCATTCGCAGCCTCATCCACTTCGCCGTCGTCGCCAGTCTGGACGTAACCTTCACCCTCGCCATAGTCATCGTCATCCTCATCACCACCCTCAGCGCTGTCATCCGCACGCAGTAGCATCATCCTCGATAGCGTCATCATCTCAGCATCCTGCTATTCTTGGTTGATCACCATGACCATCATCAGCTGAACAGTAAGAAATTAGGAGACAGGAGGCGGGTGAAGATGGGCGAAAGGCGACAAGAGCACACTGACATGCAGCCTCGATGATGGTTGCTGCAGGTTGAGGAACGACCTGGAGAGAGGTTCTACATTGCGTTGGCGGAAAGTGAAAAAGTGAAAAACCCTACGCAGACAATCTGCAGGTCAGGTTGGAGATATGCTGCCATGCTTGACAACGGAGGTACTAACTACCCATGGCAACCAAGAATCTTCCGGAACAATGTTCATCGCTATATCTTCTGGGTCCGGATGCCAGACACCCTCGAAAGCCTCGAGCTTCCAGCAAAGAACACAGAACACAGATCCATGCACTCAGAGACTGTCCTGGCCTCCACATGGTGATACTCCACTGGACCCCACCTCACCATCACCTACCAATGCAAAAAGATGCTTTCTCATCACAACTCACAGGCAAGATCAAGTCGGGCCAGTTCGTGGTAGCCTTTCTCGATAGCTGCACTCTGCACCACTATAGGAGCTCGGCTTCTACGACAAACAAGGCCGGCCTGTGCTTCAGGGCCCAGCTGCCACCCTTTAGTCAAGCACAGGCTCGAGCCAGACACGCGCGAGTCCAAGCACCGTGCCTCGACACAGGCCTCTGAAGCAAACTTGCAACTGGGCTGTGCACACTCGCAGATCAAACTTCAACCCTTGGATGAGCAGCGGATTCTCCACATAGCGAGAGACCACCGACCTTGTGATGCACCATGCCAAAACATAAGCAATGTTCGCATGAGAGCAGCGGACAGCTGCCATGCTGCGTGCAGGCTACAAACGCAGCTCTTGTGAACCTTGATGCGCAAGTAGTAAACGAAAGGTGCTTTCGAAACTGCCTTTGTGGCAGCTGGAGCGAGAGTCTTCTGACCATCAAGAGGCTCAAGCAACCGACTAAACAAACTTAGGTAGAGAACACACTCGCCGCGCAAGACTCCAGTCTGACGCTATGCACGGTGCATGAGATGCGGACTGAAAACTGTGCGCAACTCCGCTTCTACTGAGTCCACATGTTCGCATTTTCCAGGCCACATCCTGCCGAAAATTGTGTGGCGACTGAAATGCTGGATAACAGAGAAGCTCCAGCGAATCGCCCTCGACACGGAAAACTTTAGCGGCACATTCAAGGAATTCGAGTTGAAATCTTGACACTAGAGCAGGTCTGTCCCTTGATTGCGGCTAGCACGAGGCTGTACCGCACGCATTCTGCGTGGATTAGCATGCTATGCTACACACGTCCAATTAAAAGATGGCCGGAGTCCACTGCATGGAAAACACCGGCCTCAAAATTGTACAGAGTGGTGCGAAACAATTCAGGCCATGATATCAACAAGAAGGCCAATACACTAGCTTGAACAAATCAGATGGGACAAGATCCCCCAGGTTGAGTCAAACATCTGTGCAGTTGGAGGCAAGACCCTTCAGAATGCTCAGCTGCGCGCAAGCGGACGTCCTGCTGGCCCGGTTGGTTGCCGCGCAGCAAGACAGACACTTCTATCAAATCCACATGCTTTGTCATGATTGAGGCAAGATGCCGCACGCCTGGACACTTTGGTGCTTCAAGAAGCCGCAACCAACTCTTGCGCAGCCGCTTCGTTCTCATAGCCTGAGATTGTAACAAGTCAACCAGCGGCATGCTGCATCTTCAAGCGACGAAGAAGATACTTCGGTAAAAAGTGACCGCAGGCACGCGCACTGACAGGCACACGCACACATGCAGGTGCGCACGAACCCCTTCCCACGCACGTGCAACACAGGTACAGCAGGGAAGTCGATCGTGCGCTGCCAGTAGAACCACCAGCTACTGGTAATCTAGCTGACTCTCGTGCTCACACTACGACGTGAGCGCGTGCCGCTGTTTTCTCCGGTCCGGGGGGCGCTCGATCGCCCGAGCCAAGAACTCATCGCCGTTGAGCCGAGGGCCGGTGCCGCCCCACCTGGCGGAAGAGTGCTACGAGAGAAGAGAAGCAGTGCTCGTCAGCCGAGGCTTACAAGACTCAGTGACTTTTGAGATTTGCTCTTGAAGACTTCGCCTGAACTTGACAACTGACTGAAACTAGTAAACAGCCTGAGATGCAAGAAACAAAATGATGCTCATCAATCTTGTAAAGTAATTTCATACGAAGAAAACAAGGGTCCCATGACGTCATGCGGAGGCGCGACCTTGTGGCATATTGTCGCAAGACTCGCTTCCTTCAAAAATAGTATGTGCTTGTGAAGGCGAAGAAAGCATGGAAGGAGGCAGCTCACATCTGCTAGTCGCGGGCACGCACATACAGTGCAGGCAGTCCGCATAGACAATGCATTATCGCAGACAACTGCGAATACTCTGCACGCAGCTCTTGTAAAGATCCAAGGTCAAGGTCCAAGGTGCTCTTCGAAGAGCTGCTCCGGGGCGAAGGTGTCCAAGAGCCTGCAAGACGCCGCGTGACGCGGCGTCGTTCACTCGAAAGGAAGCTGTGGCTGAAGAACGGATACCACCAGAATACCTGTTGCATGTTGACTACGTTGGCCCCTTTCCGACCCTCCAGCCTTGAAATCGGCTCCTCCCGCCACCCGTGTGGACCTGCAAAAAGATCAGCGATCCTACGCACGCGTCCCATCAGCGGAGCCTTTCGGTTCTGACTTTTCGATGTGCTTCAAGACTTGTTTGTCAGAGGTTCATATGATCAGGAGGGTGTCTGTTCGGACATGCATACATGTTGTACGAAGCTGAAAAGTAGGAATGATTGACATACTCTGTCGAACCAATGAAACTATATACACATATGCACAGGCAGAAACCTTTATGCATACTGTGACGTGTCCTTTGTCCTGTATTATAGGACAGGCGTTTGTGATCGCACAGCACGCACTCACATAGGGACACACACACAGACAGACAGACAGACAGACATCCTCCCACGACAGCCCTTACATACCAAGTTCAGGGAATGTGTACTGGTTGTGATGTTCAGTCAGTGGATACCATCTGGCAATATGATATGGCATCGGTTCGATGTCAAGATCTCTGCCGATTTCCTTTGATCGGACAAGCGAGAATCACACCCGCCACAGGCAAACAACAAAACATTCCCTGTGCCAGCTCTACGGGGAACACCCAAGCAAATCCTGTGCTGCCGCCCCCATTCGTGAAGTTGCGATCGAAAATTGGGCAGCTTAGCCACAAAGCAAAGTGTTCTCTGCTTTTGTTGGAACTTCAGAGGCACATCCTGAGGGCTCTCTGGTGTGTTCATGCAAGGTTGCCCGGGCTAACCTTGGTGAATACTGTATAGAACACCCGCTTTTTTATGATACCCCGTGTATACCGTACAGACACGATATCCAATGCACTACAGACTACCCTTGGCAAGGATGTATTTGGGGACAACCAGGAGGAGCCCAAGATCTCAAAAATCGCACAATTAAACTGTAGCTTGTTCAGCAAAGGGGGGTCTATGAAGGAAATAACCCAAATTACACCAGCGAAGACCCCAAACAGAATGCATCGAATCATACCGGTTCAAGTTGGAATGTGTTGGATCCCAATCTGGCTTCGCCAGCACATTTTGCGAAGAAGAATTAGGCATTGGGCGATATATTTCTGCGAAAGAAGAGCGGGTGGTGGGACTCAAGCATGTGGGAAGGATTTTGGGAGGGTCCAAGGCATCGTTCAGAGGATCTTGCTGCAACACCATGCACGGAAAATATGCACATTTCTCCCGCAACTGCCATATTGTTGCCGCCTTTGCAAAACAGGATACCTGGCCTCTGCTGCAAACGTTCGCGGGCGAAGTGCAAAAGAGCTTGGTGTTCGCTTCGGTTGGCTGTCGGACGGGAAGAAAACGAGAACTTTGCCGTGCATGTTTGGCAAGAAAGGTAGGAAGGGATTTGTCGGCTTACAAGGCAAACAAAAAGCTCTCTTAACACGGAACCATTCACGTTTTTTCTGCTGACCGAACGAAGAGCATTGTCCACAGGATTTTGTTGCCGCAGGAACCGCACAAAGAAAAAACGCAACTTCTCCACAATTTTCATAACATTACCGTTTTGCAAAATAGGATTCCTTGCCTCCGCTGTAGACATTGGAGGAAGAAGCACAATAAAGGTTGCTATATGGATCGGTTGGCTGTCGCACGGGCAAAAAGTGTGAACTTTGCCCTGCAACTTTGGCGAAAAGAATCGCGCACAGGGGTGCGTCGGCTTACAGCACAAAACAAAAATCTTTCTTTACACGGAACCATTCACGACTTTTTCCGCAGAACGAACGAAGATCCATAGAATCTAGCTACCGCAGAAACCACGCACGGAAAAAAACACACACAACATTGCCGTTTTGCAAGACTGGATATGTGGCCTCTGCCGTAAACGTTTGTGGAAGAAGCGCAAAACAGGTTGGTATACGGATCGGTTGGCTGTCGCACGGGAAAAAAGTATGAACTTTGCGGCGCAATTATGGCGAAAAGAAGAGCAAATGGGTTTGTCGGCTTACATCGCAAACACAAATCTTTCTTTACACGGAACCATTCTCGATTTTGTCCGCAGACCGAACGAAGATCCACAGGATCTTGCTGCCGCAGCAACCACTTGCGAGATAGGATATGTGGCCTCTGCTGTAGACGTCTGTGGAAGAAGCGCAAAACAAGTTGGTACACAGTTCGGTTGGCTGCCACACGGGAAAAGGTAGGAACTTTGCCGCGCAAACTTGGCAAAAAGAAACGCAAAGGGGTTTGTCGGCTTACATCGCGAACACAAATTTTTCTTTACACAGAACCATTCACGGTTTTGTCCGCAGACCGAACGAAGATCCACAGGATCTTGCTGCCGCAGCAACCACGCAACATTGCCGTTTTGCGAGACAAGATATGTGGCCTCTGCTGTAGACGTCTGTGGAAGAAGCGCAAAACAAGTTGGTATACAGATCGGTTGGCTGCCATACGGGAAAAGGTAGGAACTTTGCCGCGCGAACTTGGCAAAAAGAAACGCAAAGGGGTTTGTCGGCTTACATCGCAAACAAAAATCTTTCTTTACACGAAACCGTTGACGATTTTTCCGCCGACAAAACGAAGAACGTCGTCCACAGGATCTTGCTGCCGCAGAAACCACGCACGGAGAAACACACAAGTTCCCTTTACACGGAACCATTGACGATTTTTTCCGCAGACAAAACGAAGAACGTCGTCCACAGGATCTTGCTGCCGCAGAAACCAAGCAGGGAAGAACACACAACCTTCCCACAATTGTTACAACATTGCTGCCTTGCAAGACAGGATACCGGATACCTGGCCTCTGCTGTAGACGTTTGTGGAAGAAGCACAAAAGAGGTTGGTTTACGGATCGGTTGGCTGTCGCAGGGGGAAATTGGGAACTTTGCCGCACAAACTTGGCGAAAAGAAGATCGCACAGGGGTGTGTCGGCTTACACAGCAAAATAAATATCGTTCTTTACACGGAACCACTGACGAAGTTTTCCACAGACCGAACGAAGAACTTCGTCCACAGGATCTTGCTGCCGCAGAAACCACGCACGGAGAACACACACACACACACAACTTTCCCGCAACTGAGTTAATCCGACCCTCAACAGCAGCACAACGATATTGGGGTAGGATCGCCGGGCAAGGCAAGGAAACCCAAAAGGGAAGCCCAGCCCGAAGAGGAACACAAGCTGCAAGCGTACCTCTTTTCTCTTTACTTGAGCCAAAGATCATGTCATTGGCACATTAAGCTACACAGTCAGACATGTTACCTGTTACCTATACAAGGACAGGGAACGTCGTATTCAACCAACTAACTGTTACAACATTGCTGCTTTGCAAAAACAGGATACGGATCGGTCGCCTGTCGGACGGAGCAAATTGGGAACTTTGCCGTGCAAACTTGGCAAAAAGAAATGCGAAGAGGTTTGTCGGCTTCTAAGGCGAACGAAAATATTCTTTTGCACGGAACCATTGACGATTTTTCCGCAGACCGAACGAAGAGCGTCGTCCACAGGATCTTGCTGCAGCAGAAACCACGCACGGAAAAACACACAACTGTTACAGCATTGCTGCCTTGCAAGACAGGATACCGGATACCTGGCTTCTGCTGTAGACGTTTGTGGCAGACCAGGCGGCCAGAAAGGAAACATTAAGGGAACCCAGCGGGAGCTCAGGCCCTCTGCTGCGGCCCGCCCGTCCAACCCAGGAGCCCAGAAAGGAAACAGGATAGAAACCCAATTGGCAGCCCAATCCCTTTGCCGCGGCCCACCCATCCAATCCAGGAGCCCAGAACGGAAATATGAAGGGAGGTAAACGGGATTGCCGCGGCCCAAGGAAACATGAAGGGAGCCCAACGGGAGTCCAGGTCCAACCCAGCAGCCCAGAAAGGAAATATGAAGGGAGCCCAATGGGAGCCCAGGTCCTTTGCCGCAGCCCACCCGTCCAACCCAGGAGCCCAGAAAAGAAACATGAAGGGAAGTGAATGGGAGCCCAGGTCCTTCGCCACGGCCCACCCGCCCAACCCAGAACCCCAGAAAGGAAACAGGAAGGGAGCCCAATAAAGCCCAGGTCCTTTGCCGCGGCCCACCCGTCCAACCCAGGAGCCCAGGAAGGAAACATGAAGGGAAGTGAATAGGAGCCCAGGTCCTTCGCCGCGGCCCACCCGTCCAACCCAGGAGCCCAGAAAGGAAACATGAAGAGAAAAGAATGGGAGCCCAGGTCCTTCGCCGCGGCCCACCAGTCCAACCCAGGAGCCCAGAAAGGAAACATGAAGGGAAGTGAAGGGGAGCCCAGGTCCTTCGCCGCGTCCCACCCGTCCCGTCCAACCCAGCAGCCCAGAAAGGAAACATGAAGAGAGCCCAATGGGAGCCCAGCCAGTTTGCCGCGGCCCAGCCATCCAACCCACTGCGGCCTACCCTTTTTCTGAGGAGAGAACCCCAAACCGTACCTGCTTGGTGAAAAAGGCCTATAAAACACCTGTAGAATACCGCCTTTGTGCACCTTCAACAATTGCATACCTTATATAAACTTGTCCGAAAACCCTATAGCCTGTTCCTTCTAGCATACCACCTATGTGTGTGTGTGTGTGCATATATATACACACCCTATGGAAAACCTTTTGCAGAGCCTTATACAATACCCTAAAGAATACCCTAGAGAATGCCCTGTACATTATATTAAACTCTGAATTACCTACCCTTAATCATAATAGATGTGTGTATATAGATATATATATATATATGTATATATATACATGAAGATATAGATATGTATGTATCTATATATATATACATACATATATACACATACACGTGTTTATTGATCGATTGGCTGGCTTATTTGTTCGTTTATTATAAAGCACCATCTGGAATTCTAGAAAAAACACCTTATAGACTACCCGCCTATATTTCATACCCCGTGTGTACCTCTTATACATATATACATACATACATACATACATACATGTACATATATACATATACAGGTATATGTATATATATATATATATATATGTAAACCTGTATATATACATATATACATATGCCACATATACATATACACATATATATATATATATATATGTATATCCCATATACGCTTTCAGCGAACATTTGTGCTCTCACGTCGCCCTTCGCATGTCTCCATTTCCGAAAAAACGCAGCGCTTCGATAGCACCAGATTTTCTCAAAGGACACCCTCCAATGGAAAATTTGGTAATATCGAGCCGCCCCTGCTTGTTGTCCGTAGTTGCAAAGCATAACGCAGAAACTTGATGCTATCGAGCCTCTGTCTTCAGTTATGGAAAACGCAGCGGTTCGACAGCACCAAATCTTCTGAAAGGAAACCCTGCAGAAACTTAGTGCTATCGAACCGCCCTTCGATATCGTCATTTTCGGAGAACGCGGCGGTTCGATAGCACCAAATGGTCTAAAGAAACCTCCAAGTTTGGAAAACGCAGCGGTTCGAAAACACAACGGTGTGCGAAAGGAGTAACAACCTTCTGTTATTTCCTCGTCAGCCGGCACAATTAAGGGAATACATTGGGGAACAGAAGGATTGCTTTGACAGCTGAAGGAAAAAAGAAAGGGAAAATCAATGACAGTTTCGGGGAAACGGTAGGGGAAACCTAAAGAGTTTGAGGGAAATTAGGGGAATTCTTCATGGAAAACAAACTCGGCAGGGAATCGGAGTCTGCACGGCTTCTTCCACACTCGTCGTAGCCTCACGTAGTGATTAACGGCCTCCAAATTTGCTCAGTGTCCGTAACAGCACATCGGGCGAGCCGATGGTAGCGTCCAGTGTTCAGGAGACGGTGAACTGTACACTTCTCCTGTGGAAGGCCCCCATTTTCCAGCGAGTCTTCTAAAAACGTTCTGAAGACTCATTTTGTCCATCATCTGTCCACCTTCTGGCACGTAGTCACTGCTACAATTGGCCGGAAATTGTGAAGCTTTCGTGTGCCGAGGTTGTGATCGAGAGTGAGCGCCATTCAGCAGAGACAGATGACTATGCGGCTGAGGGACCCAGAAATTTGAAGTCAATGTGTCCACGATCAGCGATCCAGCGGGAGAAGATTTTGAATGCTCCCCAGAAAACCATGTCCTGGGCAGGATGTCAAGGAAGTTGCCCATTCTTCTGCCACGGACGAAGTTTCTGAAGCATGTAAGGCCAACACACTATTGAGGTAGAATACCTTGCCAATGATGCCAGGATAGTGGCGATTCAGGATTGCGATCGCTGCCTGCATGGTGCCAAGATGCAGCTTTGCGTCGATCTTACAGCCTCCGGATCCTACCTGGCCTTCAACACGGCGAAGCCGTTGTCAAGGCTGCCCAGCTCCTCCAAGATTTCCTTCGAAGGCGCATCCTTCCAGAAACGGGATGGTGCAGGTCAGGGCCCTGCAGGCTTGTCCCGATTGCTCATGTCCGACCTTGGACCCGGCCCCGGCAGCGTAGTAGGGATTCAGGGCCTGCTCAGTATCTTGAGCTGCGCTCCAGTCACCAAAGAAGGTTGAGTCAACGGCGTACCCAGCGCAAGAATTCCCACGCATTGGGGCCAGGGGCTTCGGATTCCGATAAGATGAGTACTTGTTGATGTCTGAACAAGCTAATGTGTTCGACCTCGTTTGACGAGTCAAGAACGAAGCCTTGGCGGCCTTTGTCACAAATGCTTGCCACTCCAACACTGCTGCGAGTACTGTAGGGAGGCGTTGTGCAGACTGCCCGTGACGAGCGTAATACTGCTCGGACAAGAAGCTTCAAAATGACTTCTGGTCGTCTGCACACGAGTGCAGGCGCTTGCTTGCGCTGCCGAAATGCTTCTTTACACCCCCGGTGCGGCTGTCTTTTTGTGATGCACTATAACAACCAGGGTGTATAGAGGCAATCCTGAAGTCATTCCTGCCGCAAACACAGACCGTTTACACTCTCTGGCACATGGCTTGTTGAAGCAAGCCCCGATGCAAGAACGAAGCCCCAGATATACTTGACCGTGCAGGGCAGCGACGCGAGAACACGAGACCGAGCGTGAGCGCGTTAGCGCGAGAGCGAGGGTGAGAGCGAGAGGGAGAGGGAGGTTTCTTCTTGGGTGGCCGAGACCGAGAGCGTTCTAAGGAGATCTTCCTGACAACTTAGCACCAGCGCGGCGCCTCGTTGTAGGTTTTGTCAAGCCCGGCCGTTCCGCTGACGTTGCCAGCTCGTCCTGAGCCAAGCCAAACGAGGCAGGAGCGGTGCCACGGTGCAGCGGAGATCAGCGGAGTGTGCCAAAGACAATGCCGCTCTCTCCTATACTTCCGATGTCCAAGATGTAGGCACCAGGGCCTCGGCCCTTCTTCGCAACCTGGAGCCGCCAAAACTCCACACACTCTTGGACAGCAGGAAGAATGGAGAGGCCTCTGCATATCCCATAAACCACGTCAACTCTGGAAACTTAAGTCAGTGAAGAACTGTCGACTTCACAGGCATCCCGAGATCCCGTCTCCCGACCAGTGACGAGCGGTGGGGGGGTTGCTAAGACGGATTGAGCCTTGGATTGCCCTGACCTGCACCATTGAAACAACGAGCAATACAAACGAGGGCTTGAAGTCTTCCTTTTGCAAGGGAGCGTGGTGGGGCCACAGCGATATCCCGGCGCTTCTTTCATGGCTTTGGACTCCCACCTCAATGCGCGTTGCGCTAACGGGAGAAAGTCGCCAGGCCACTTTTTGGGAGCCCTAAGCCACCACATTGCTCTCGTGGCCTGCAGCGCAGGAGACGTTTTGGAGTTCCGCATCACACACCAAAAGGCTCCCGACGAACTCACACGGCCCTGCCGAATCAAACCTTTTTGCCCGGCATTTTTTGCCAGGGCTTCGCTGGTCAGCCACGCAGCGCGATAACTCCTCGCCAAACCCACGCGTGTCCGCGTCCTTCAAAATTCTAGAAGTTGAAGAATGGAGCTTCATGCGATGGCTTATGCAGGTGTCATCGATCCTGGGCAACCTGTGAGGCCCTGAACACCCCGGGCCACGCAGTGGAAACCGAACTTGCTGGAAGGGTCCGCCCTGGACGGCTCAGCTCGAGCAAGGAGCCTTGGCCGCCATGAGCTCGAAAACGAAGACTCCTGCTCGCAGGTGGTGCCACGGATGCCTCAGAAGAGGCTTTGATCTCACTGAAAATCCATTTTTCAATCAGGCCACATGTTCTCCGCGTTGGCGAAGCGCAGGCGACCAGCGGCGTACGGGCGGCCGTCCCGGTCCTGACCCACACAGATTCTGCTCGTAGATTCTGGGTTGCATGCTTAGATGGTCCTCCATGAGGGAGTCAGCAAAATACATCTCCTGAGCAGGAAAACATCTACCCTGCTTTCGTCCGTTTGGTTCTGACTCATGGCTGGCTTGAAGTTGGAAAGAAGATCGTAACAATCGTTAATGCCAGCGTTGTAACCAAACGATGGAAAAACAACTAGGCCCAAGAATCATCCGGAGCGCCGATGTGGCTCAATACACCCTCGAGTCTTCAATATCCACCACTGTCAACGATTAACCTGGTACAGCACGACTGCCACCCCAGAGTGTACGCGAAATTGGGCGGGAGCACGATTCTTCGAGGCGGAGACCAAGACAATTTCCACCCAAAAGATATCCCAATACACACGGCCACTGCGGTGGCAGGGCATCAAAATATTGGGTTTGAAAAGGCAGTCGGCGTCCTCGAAGGACGCTCCGCCAGCAGTGCAGAAAATCCGAAAATCCCGGGTGCAGTCGAAAATGCTTAGCCACACCACAAAGGGAGCTGCAAAACCGCTCTTGGCGGGGACAATAATTTCATCCCTGGATGCAAGAAGCCTGCAGTGTCACCACACTTAATGCGAAAAACGACGCCTGCATCCCTTGCTGCATCACCGAGGTTACAGAACTGTGGACATTGAACTCCAGGCTGCAAATAATGACCAGGACAAGAAGCCGCACCAGGGTTTGTGCTTTCAGAGAAAAGCTCCGCAGCAGCACCCGTCCTGACATGACATTCAGTGTTTCCCTTCATGCAGGTTTTATGGGTTGGGATCTGGAGGCAAAGCTTGACCCCTGCAGGTGGAGTGCAGATGCAAGGATTTCCAGACAGCCCACGGCCGACAAGCTGCCATGAGCTCAAAAAGTGCCTCAACAGTTTAGGCAAAGAGCCCCCGTATGACAAACCCACACCGGACAAGGGTTGCCCTACCTGTAGTACTCGAGGACGTTCCAATCGCGACGCCAGATGGCAGTGGCCTTGCGAGATCAGTGACCGGCAAGAGAAGACGGTCTGTTTCGGCAGATCCCAATCTCCTCCAACCGCACGATCGCTTCCTTGGCGTCGAACTGCGCCGCCACGAGATATCTACGGAGAAGCCCTGGCCACTTGCAAGGCCAAACAGCGCGCTGTAGTACGTACAGTGTGACATGTTGCCGTGACATCCACGCACCTTGAATGTCAATGGTGAAATACGGGTCGTCGATAACTGCAGGGTAAATGCCATCCTGCCTGCAAACGTCCAATATTTCAGCATGACATTCTGCTGCCCAAGAAGCCCGTGAAGCTTGCCCATATTCGGATGGCTTGCGCAGCCAAAATGAAGCTTGCCCGTACTCGGATGGCTTGTGCAGCCAAAACGCAGACGGTCGTGGAGAACGGCCCACTGCCTCATCGCAGCAATCGAAGGCAGACAACAAAACAACAAAGTCGAAGACCCTTTCGCCTCTCCATCTCGGCTAGAAGTTCTTGCCGATCTGCTGATGCAAACCTGAAGGTGAAAGCTGCAAATCGGCTCGGCTGATCTTAGGGCCCCTGTTGCACGAAAAGGTCTGGGTCTTCTGGTCCAACCAAAGCACTGTTGGACACTGGCTGGGTCATCCTTGGCCACCGCAGGTGTAGGCGCAGACGGTGAGCCTGACAGCCCATCGGCCAGTCTTCATGCGGGGGTTGAGTTGAGTTGGTGGGTCCGGTCTCCGGGCCAGGGTTTTGGTTGAGTTCCTCCTACCTCGTGTTTGTACCAGCCTATTGGCAACAAAAATTCTGGAATTGGGGCGGCACATGTTCGTCCGTGACAAAGAGAATCCTTCGTAGGACACTCCGGTAGATGGGAGGTTTCGGGAGGCAGTTTCAGAGTTTCAGATACCCGGCTTCAAAGGCACACTCTGCTACTTTCCCGAGCGGCTCAACCCAACGGCTCATTTAGCCAGCCTCCTTGATTCAGTTCAACCGGATGATCCCAACCAACACACGCCACACGCATGCAGTCATCTTCCAGGCCGAAGCGGGCAGCTAGCACTAATGTCAGACGTCCTAAACCACGGCAAACCCCAAACCTGGGCTTCGGAAGGGGTTTCCCAGAAAGGACAGCGCCACCGCGACATGGCCAATGCCGGCAAAGCCCAGGACGAGCGCAACAGGTGCCCAGCTACGCAGCCTCACGCCACTGCAAAGGCACTGCAAAGGCTACAAGCGCAGCAATGCATAAATTGCGGACTTGCTCTGCTGAAGCACCTTCGCCTATGGCGCTGGTGCATCCACACTGTTCGCTGCCCAATTGCAGCGAATGGGCTTCGTGCAGCTACTTCCATGGCGACGCGTCGCACGATTGAGTGGAAGATTCCTGCGCATGCACGCTGCTGTCGCCAACACCTGGCACCTGAAGAGTGTCGAGGCAACTCGGTCGCTCCGTGTGCCTAAAGCTTCAGCTTGAGCAAATGGGTGCGAGAACGTGGGCGTGCCGCGCAAAAAGTGCAACCAGACCAGCCTACGGCTTACAGCAATTACGGCGTCTCCAGAGCAGCTTTCACAGCTGGAAGCTGCGGAACATTGCAAGGACTTTTTGGTTGCTCCTATCTTGCTCCTCTTCTAGCCCACGCGATAAAACATAAGTGTCCCTCCCCTACCCTGCCGAGAGCAGAGCATCTCGTCCACTGGGAGATCTGCCACCTTGAGAATGACATGAGCGGAGACGGGAAATACGAAAGCGGGTTCCAAAGGCAGCGACATCACGCAAGACAAAGATTCCACGACCTCTGGACGATGCGTTCGGCTTCACCTCATTTTTCGCATGGTGTCTCTCCGAAGCACTGCCGCAGCTACAGCTCAGCAAGGCACGATCCACAGACCACCCTTCTTTTGATAGCAGTCCAGGAACTCCTGTGCAAGGGAACTTGGGCTCGCCGCTGCTTTCAGCACGACGATCCAGCCTGCATCTGACCAGGAAGCACCTGATTCTCACACAGGCTTGGCTGTTGAGCTGATTTTATAAGAAAGCTGCACATACCTGAAAGCTGCAGTAACCTTGAAACACCTGGAGTGGATGGGCAGGGCTGTTGCAACTTTGTCTGGGCGTGCCGCGGGAAACCTTACAAAACCCTGGAATGGCTCCACCCCCTCCCACCCCCTGCTACATGCTTCGGACCGTGGGATAAAGAAAACATGCACGTGGCTGTGTCTTCTTCGCTGCGGAACCAACGCTATTCACAGAACACCTGAAGCACGTCCCTTCCGCTGCTTCTACAGAGGTGTTTCATGTCGAGATGCGAATCGCTTTATTCAAAACATGGCAGGGGAATCGACCCGTTTTTGATCCTACATCAACCCCTTGAGATACTTCATCTGTGTGCAGGCTTTGTGGACTTTGAGTTGTCATGAGAAGCATTCAGCACAGCACGCTTTATTTTCTTAGTGTCGCGAGGGAGGGTGTGTAGGAACGTAGAGATACAAACTTTTGTGATTGGGGCTTGGGTGTCTGGGGCTGTAGGATGCAAGCGTTTTGTATTCAGGGCATATAGGGCATATGTAGGGTTCACATGGTACCCCCTAATCACAAAGGCACAGGAGATCTGCGGTGATGGGAGGAGTCGACCATCACGATTCGCTTTTTGAAAGGGTTGACTCCTCTTCATGTCATAGATTCTAAGAGAAAAAGGCTACTCAGTACACGAGGGAAGTGACCTCTAGCCGACAGCCTCCTCTGCCTCACGTGCTTGTAAGATCAAGCATACCGCCTACCTGCCTCAAGAGATTTCATGATTGACTGGGGTCACAGCAAAAGTCTGCGGTACGAAGTCGAAAGCATCACCGAATGTTTGCGCCTGATACATCACCAAGCATCTTGCAGCAATCTCGACAGGATCCAACCAAGCAATCCGCTCCAATGGTTCTGGGGTTCCCGCCATATCCCTGAAATTCATCCACAGGCGGTCCTTGCGAGTGAGCTCCGTGGACCTGGTTGGGTGGTCAATGTGTTCCCGTCTGGAATGAACAACACATCGCTGGTTTCTCGGGTCTGCGATCTTGCCCTTACGCCGCTACCCAACACAGCATCTGCCTGGGCCTGGGCTATCCCCTTCAGAGCACACTCGCGAGCCGGAACGCGTCCGAAATGAATGGAAGAGGGCAGCACCGAGATCAACAACTTGAACTAGCTGGGTGTGGTGCTAAGGTTCCAAAAGCTGCAATTCGAGACGATGCATGCCAGGGACTCAGACAGGAAAGTATATATAAGTTTTATGGTCTATGCCACTTGCGCATGAATTCAGTGGCCCAGGCCCAGGAAAATGGTTGACGCGCTGGAACTCGTTCATGTCCTGCTTGCGATTCTGATGGTCGCTGTCGACTCGACTAGACTTTCGACTCGGCCTTGCCTGGTAGGCAGAGTCGCGGAGGCCCGGGCCGGACCATTGGACGAGCCAGTCCTGGAGACGCGACTCGACCCAACTCTGGGCGTCGGGCGTTTCAGGCAGCCCAGGTCAGTCCCGGCCAGTTGTCTGCGTCATGCCGTTGGTCAGGAGGGTATCTCTAACGACAGGAGCCTGCAGAAGGAGACCCTTGCGAACATCGCAGCCCAGAAGAAATTGCACCTCTGTGTGCTCAATTCGGAAGGATGGCGTCAGCAAGGAGGAGCCTCAGGTCTGGCAGCTGCACATGCTGCGGATCGATGCGCATGTGCGAAGAGATCTCTCAGGACTCAGGACTCCACAGATTTTATTGATGGACTCCTCTCGCCAGGGTCAGAGCCGGAAGGGAGCACTGCTGCGTGGCAGCTGCCCTGCCCCCTGCCTTCTTGAGCTTCGCCTGAGGCGCTTTGAAGTGGAGGACTCCCAGCTCCTGCAAAAACCGCCGGAGCTAAGCAAGCAGGCCCTCGATCACAAGCATGCAGAAAGCAAACCAGAGTGTGGTCCTCCCACTCGGAACCCAAGTGTTTGACCTGCTCTTAGTTCTGCTTAGCGAAACTGCTATGAGATGTCAGATGCCTGCAGACATGAAAGGCCTGTCCCACCTGAGCCTTTCACTCGAGGTCTACGCCCAAGTCTTAACAATTAACAGTGAGATTATCTGTGGAGACCTCAACGTCCACAAAGCCGGCTCGACGGAAGGAGCAAGAAAAGTAAAGCATCGGTCGGCGGCCTTTTATCATCTTCTGACTCCAAGGGTCGGGCAACTTCACGGAGACTTTCCCGAGCCTGAGCAGCGATATGGGCCTGGCAGGCGGTGTTTGCACAAAATGGCTTGCGGTCCGATTCTTCGTCGAGCTCACAAAGCATGATGTGTCGAAGATGTTCTGTCATCGTACTTTCGCTGTCGCTTAAAGACCGGCTAATGTGATAGATGCTGCAAGGCGGGAGTGTTTATATGCCAAGGCAAGCTGGGACCGCCTACTGTAATAGCTGGAGGCAGCGCTGCATGGATGGTAAAGACTGGCTACCGAAAGCTTCCACTGGTGCGACCGGACAACACAATCCCAAATGAAAGCTACGATAGTTCGAACCAACACCAAACTCACTCCGTCCTCAGAGTCATCATGGCCGTTGTCGTCATCCGATTCATAGCCTGCACAAGCATTGGGCCATACAAAAGCGACGTAGCCAGAAAACCCAAGCTGGCATATCCACCTGGCACGTGCGGCCAGAACCTTCCGGCACCCGGATCCATCCTGCTAGTTCGAAAGCAGTTCAGAGCATGTCATGTGCAACCCCAGCATTGCACAGTTCGGTGTTGAACGGCGTGGACCTTCGCCAAGACGTTGCCGAGCGCAGAGAAGGTCTACTTTGCCATCAGCGTTCGTATTGTCATCCACACAGGAATTGGGAATATTAAAAACGATGCGCGACAGCCGTTCTTCAGCTGCTGCCACCGCAGCACTAGTTGTAACAGTACGTTGCATGGTCTTCGCAACTGTCGCTAGTAAACCCCCGTAGTCTGGAAGTTTGTCCATTTGTGTTCGCACCCTGCTGCTTTGTCATGTTGGGGCTCCGGTAGCCAGAAAAATCCCCCACGAAAGGCTTCGGTCGCAGGCAGTGGCTCCTAGGCATAGTTGTAAGCTTAAAACCTCTACACTTTCTACATGAAGCATTGTCGGCATGTCAGACGTTTCACATCATCAGCATAGCTAATGGAAACCGGATACAAACATCTCCGCCATATCCATCCCGCCATGGTCTTGGCCGCGTGTCAGCCCTTGTCACTCGCAGCAGCAGACCAACACCAGCACCACCACAGCTCACAACCACCACGAAGACAAAATCAACAGCAAAAACGATAGCCACAACTATAGGATAGCAGGAGAAGTCAACCATTCATTCGCTCCCTGCTGCGCGCATGCAAGAATACATTAGTTCATGTATTCAGTCACCCTGATTTTTGTTCAGTTGAACATCACCTTATTCACACATGCAGGCTCAAATTCACGTCATTATGCGTTCTCTGCCCTTCGCAATACACCATGAATTCGTTCTCTGCCCTTCCCAACTTCACGTTCAGACTTGTAACTTTTAATTCAGTCAGCTCGTTCAAGCCATCCCTTCGTTCATTTCCTGCTGCCCCTTTCATCATATTTGAATTCTTTCAGGTCATGCGAACCAATGTTTGAAACATTAATGTAGGCAAATACATCTGCATGAGTTGGAACGACAAGTTCAATCGCAAACGTATTGTCGTTAATTTAATAATGTGTGTCCTCTCTCATCACATGCCATGTCACCTTCGTATCATCCCATACGCCTCAAATTGCTCATCTCCTGCCATTCTGTTCACTTCATTCCAAGACATGTCTTTCCAGTGGTCGTGTCAAAGATGAAATGATAATCATACTTATAGCCTTCCAATCCTAGTCATTGCAGTGATGAACGTCTCAGTGTATTCGATAGTCATGTTTTCATATAGATCATATAGTTTAGTGCAATCCGGCTTCGTTAAACACTACTCAACTTCATGCCTGCTTCGTCGGTGAAACATACTTCCACTGACAGAAGTTCAGCTTCGGCTGCAGATATAAGGTTGGGTTCAGGGTTGCCACAGCGGCCTGCTTTAGTACGTACATAAAGCATGATGACGGGACAACTGAGTGCAAGCGCAAAGACTTGTTCGAGTTGTCTTGCCAAGTGCCTTTGTCCGGCGCATGCGCGCCTCAAGGTTGCTAAGGCCTCTTAAAGGGGCCCACGGCAGACAGCTGCAGCTCGCAGCAACGACCAATCACAGCTGTTTAATTTAGTCTAGGATTTGAGCATGCTGATGAGAATCCCAGAAGCTCCTCTGCATGTCTGCGCACTGAGAACCTGCTTTTGCAAGTTCGGATCTACTGACTTTCCTGACAAGAATGCAGCCAGCACTAGTCATGCGTGGTTGGGTCAGAAACAGAATGACGCTGTGAATCCAACATTCTGCTCGTTGACAGCAGCTGTTCTGTCTCAGTCTTTCCTAGCGCAACACCTGTACACGATGGCAATTGGCTGCAGCCTTGTGGGGCTCAAGGAAACCAGCAGTCTCAGAACTGATACTTTCTTCGTCACCCTGGCGGTGGGAGTGCACCTTGGGGCGTTTCAGCTGCGTCCTGACTTTCCGAGCTTAAGCGTCTCAATCCGTGCCAAAGACACACCACATCTAATAACCTTCATACTGGAACGATTCTGACGACTGATGCTTCAGACTCAGCTGGGGCGCACATCTCCAGCAATTTCAGCTGCCGCCCACCTGGCAAGTCAACTTCGACATGCAGACAAAGCTTTCAAAGCCAAACTGCCGCCAACTGCGTCTGTCTGGGACAGAAGCAATGATGTTGTTGATCGGGATGAAAACCAGCTTCACAGTGTAGCCTGGCAGAGTTGGCTGGTAAACCACGATGCAGCATCAGTCTGGAATTCTCTCATTGAGATGCTTCGCTGAAAGTAGGCTTCATAAACTCAAGAAAAGCTTGGCGACTTTACAGCCTGAGGCCAGAATTAGGTTTCCTTAACAGGCTTTGGACCATGACGGAAAGCACAACAACCGTGCTGTTGAATGCTATTAAGCTTTACCATCTATAAAGTTGTAAATGAAGTATACGCGAGGCCATACAGCCCGTCGAAGAGAGACAGGCTGCGAGCAAAGAAGCCAAGCCAGGATCAAAACAGCAAGCTGCAATCCGAAAGACACACAAGCACGGCACACGACATGGAAGCCACGAAGCCTGCTGTGTTCAGCAACACAGCACAGTGAGCAGCACTGCAGACTGAGAAAAATGTCGTCTGTCTCTTTATACATCGTTGTGAATTACGTTCCTCCTTGCTTCCCTTGGTGCATCCGTCCGTCCTTCCCTGCAAGTCTCACGAGGCTCCGACAGTAGCCAAGCTTGAAGACAGAGCAGAAATACAAACAAAAGCATGCAAAGTACACGGCGCGCCGTTCGGATGTGCCAGAGAGAGGCTGACTTTCTGCGAGCTGAACCAAGCCCATGGCCGATGAATCCCATGATGGAGAATCCAATTGCGCAGGCAACCGCAATCTTCTTGAACTCCTGCCCAAGTCGTAAAAGAAACACGAGAATCCCAAAAAGTCCTGTCCCGTGCTCTCATCGCTCCTTTGCATCAGGTTTGGTGCAACGCTGGATGAGTCGTCGAGAATCCATGCCAAACCTTTCCAGAGCCGCCCAGGTACTGTCACGGTTAGGGGAAGACTTGAATTTCAGAGGCAGCCGACATCTCGCCACAACCAGTGACATGAAGCCAAAATCAAAGCAATCGCACTGAGGCCACCGACTCGATGGCACCCTGCACACAGTAGCCTTCCGGCCGCAAAAGCAAAAACATGAAGGTTAGATTGAGACGAAACTGTCCGTGAGGATCTCCGAGGCCACGGCCGACGGGGTTGTTCTTGTCCGTGAGGAAAGGCATCGCCGACCTTGCGAACGAGCGGAATTCCAGCTTCAGGATGAGAAGGCTGTAGAGGCCAGAGCAGCTTCGCCGCCATGTCCACTTAGGCGCGCTTCTCCAGGATGAGTCGGGGCAAAACTTGACAGAAGCCTGCTCTTTCGAGCCACGTGCAGAGAATCGCGAGCCGAGAATGGCCAAAAAGACATTGCAAGGGCTCTCAAGACATGTGCGATCAGACCGCCTAAACCCAGCATTCAGAACACCAAACTGGCGAGATGGAGACAGCAAACCTGCGAACAGGGGATATGATAATGACTCTCCACTGGAACTGGGAAAGACTACTGTTTGCCAGACTGTAGCGCTGGATTTGCTGTCTATTCGTATGATATTCTACCCTTTCGATGCTGTATATACTATTAGCGAAGACGCACGTAACGCTTGAAATTTTTGGACGTTACCTCTCAAAAAGTTCCGATAATTGCTGATGCCGCATGACATACACGGACAAAACACATAACACAAACATAAGTAAACCCTCAGAAGCCAGGCTTTACAACATTCTAGAAGCTGCTGGCATCAAACCCATGAATTCAGCCATTCAAGGCAACACACATTCATTGGTTTGAAACACGCGAGTCGCTGATCTGAATCATCCAGGAGGTGAAGATCAGTGCGATTCTGGACAATCAGTGGGCTTCCTCGCTCTGGGTAGTCGGCCGCCCACACCTGCGAACAATCTTTTCCGTTCAGTTCTGCCCTTGCATCGGCAAAACCCTGTTGGTTCTGATCAGAAGTTTGGTGACATGAAAGCCAACACACTTCATTAGCTTCGTACTTCATGCCTCCAACACCACATGATAGAATCCAAATCGTCTTTTGGTCCTTCTGTGCCGTCCTGTTCTGCCCAGCCATGCGCACAAAACAATAAAATGTACAACTGCGACCTGAACTGGTACACCGACGGGACTGACAAGCAACTTGCATGTCACAAAGAACTCAAGATTACAGCAATAAGCTCTTTGAGCTTGTTTGCCGGTGGCCTAGTCTCAAGGCCGGAAAACATGCACGCACATACTGCGGAGTGTCCAGCATATTCAAAAGGCCGCGAGGGAGCATGCAGAATAAAGGACTGCATGAACTGCAGCATCTGTCAAACCATAAAATGGTAAATGACTGGTAGCTTTGCCTTGGGCAACGCGCAGGGACCGACCGCTGACATCAAGCGCAGCTGTAAAAGCGCCGGACCACCACCCCCTTGGCAGTTGTCCTTTCTGTGCACATTTCATGACCTTGCATGAAGCGCTTGAGAATCACCGGAACGGCGGACGCATGCGCACCGGACTGAAATTGCTCGGAGACAAGTACATTCTCAATCCAACGGGTCTTCTGTCTGAAGAGTAGCCCGTCGGGATCCAAAACTTCCTGCTCTTCGCCATCTGCCTTGATGACGCACCTCTCTTCCTTGGGCGCACCGGTCGACACGACGAGGTTGACGACTTCCAGTTCGTCGGAATTTTGCACGATGGTTTGGGTGTGCTTTCCAACACCATACCCGACACTGGCAGCCAGCTTGCGCATCATCCAAGAGGTCCCTCGCTCTCGAAGGTATGCGTCCCAGTCCTCTACGGCTCCCCTTCCAACAATCTCCTACATATAGCCTCTTCCAAACAAGCAAAACAGGAAGGAAGCGTACTCAGGCATGGACGCCACAGTTCATTTGTCTGCGATGCGCCCTAGGCACGCGTGCCCGGCGGTTGAGCAGCTCCCACAGTGGCACAGTGCACATTTTCGACAGAAACCTGCTGC